TTCCGTCAGTTTTCCATCAAATTTCGTTTTTTTGGTGTCATTACAATCGGGAAAAGATTCTCTATCATTTCATAAGAAAAAATATTTTTTTTTTTTAAATTTTGCGACACCAGGAGACACCTCAGGATTGGGGGTTGCGACCTAAGGGTTAAATCAGGGATAATCACAGATAGCACTACAGACCACTACCCTACCTTCCTCTTGACAAACATTAGTAAAGCACCACTTGAATACAACAAAGTTTCATTTAAACTCCATGATGAGGCCTCAATAAGGAAGTTCACAGCTGACCTAGAGACTGTTGACTGGCCTACAGAATTCTCCAAGGCCAATGGTATTGATGACTGGACAGACATTTTTCTTAACAAATTACTTAGACTATACAACAAACATTGTCCTATAAAAATGAAACAGATCACAAACAAACGGCTTGGTTGCCCATGGCTAACCAGCACCATTCTGAAATCCATTGATAAGAAACACCAACATGAAAAGCAATATAGACAGGGCTTAATACACAAAGATATTCTTAAACACTATTCATCAGTCCTCACCAAAGTAATAAAGAAAGCCAAACAACTATACTACTCCAGTAGATTCACTGACACAAGAGGAGATATAAAAAAAGACCTGGAAAACACTCTCTCAGATTCTAGGGACCCACAAACTGAAAAAAAAACCAAGAATATTGCCCTAACTAAACCTAATGAAACACCACTGCATCCCACTGACACAGCTAACAAGATAAACGACTTCTTCTCAACCATAGGTTCTAATCTCGCCAATAAAATCCCACGTACCAATGCCCATGCCGGGGACTACCTAGATGGGAATTTCCCAAATTCCTTCTATCTTGCTCCAACTGAGCCCATGGAAGTCACCGAGATTATAAAGTCACTTAAAAATAACTCAGGGAATCTGTCTCATGTCCCACCATTATTGTACAAGATAGCGGCCCATGTCCTCTCGCATGCTATCTCATTACTTTTTAACAAGCCACTAGAAACTAGCACCTTCCTGAAACTACTCAAGACGGCAAGGGTTACACCAATACATAAAGGTGGTGACCCTACAGATTTAAACAACTATAGGCCAATATCAAACTTACCATTGCTATCTAAAATCTTTGAGAAACTCGTGCACAGGAGACTATATTCATTTATAACGGCACAAAACATACTCAACCCCTGCCAATTTGGATTCAGGAAAAATAAAAGCACTAACGATGCAATCATAAAAATGCTAGATCTGCTTTACACAGCATTGGAAAATAAGGAATATCCACTAGGAATTTTTATTGACCTAAGAAAAGCTTTTGACACAGTAGACCACGGCATCCTACTCCACAAACTTTGACCATTATGGTATAAGAGGCCATGCGCTTGCATATTTCAAATCGTACCTTACTAATAGGTATCAGTATGTCACCATTAAAGACACAGCATCAACAACACAGCCACTTGATACTGGAGTTCCGCAGGGAAGTGTCCTTGGTCCCCTGCTCTTCCTCATATACATCAATGATCTTCCAAACGTATCTCAACACCTGAACCCCATTCCCTTTGCTGACGACACGACTTATGTCATCTCTCACCCTAATCTTGCCACCCTCAACACCATTGTTAATGAGGAGCTGATCAAAATATCGACTTGGATGACAGCTAATAAACTTACGCTTAACACTGACAAAACCTACTACATTATGTTTGGTAGCAGAGCAGGAGATGCGCAAATTAACATTAAGATTGACAACACTCTAATTGCCAGGCATAATGAGGGCAAATTCCTAGGCCTATACCTCGACTACAACCTGAACTTCAGCACCCATATCCAACACATAACCAAAAAAGTATCCAAAACGGTTGGGATCCTCTCCAAGATATGATACTACGTGCCGCAAACTGCCCTTCTCACACTATACCATTCACTTATATATCCATACCTCACCTATGCTATCTGTGCTTGGGGTTCAACTGCAGCAACACACCTAAAGCCAATAATAACCCAACAAAAAGCCGCAGTAAGAATAATCACTAAATCCCATCCCTGGCAACACACCCCCCCACTCTTCATAGATCTAAACTTACTCCCTGTTCAGTACATCCACACTTACTACTGTGCAATCTACATCTACAGGACCTTAAATTCCAATATTAACCTTGACCTAAAATGCTTTCTTGATAGTTGTGACAGAACCCACAGGCACAACACCAGACACAAACATCTCTATGACATTCCCCGTGTCCGACTAAACCTTTACAAAAATTCAATGTATGTCATGGGCCCTAAAATCTGGAACACCCTACCTGAAAATTCTAAAACTGCAGACACATTCATCACCTTCAAAACTACCATCAGAAAACATCTTATCTCCCTGATACACCCTGTCAACTAATTACACGAATACCACCTGGTGGTTAACACATACGATCACTCACCCATTTGACCATAAACAGAAATCTCAATCTCAAAATAATGAATCTTAACTAGTCATAAGTTGGCCTGTGATACTCCAATACTGAAACTATGTATAGTGCCAAAACAAAAGCATTCCCATTGCTAAACTCACAAACTAGTATTTAGTCACTTAGCCATAATACCAACTTACCTCATAATTTTGTAATATTTTAAACTTAAGATTTAATTTAAGTCTGCCCGAAATGCCTAGCCATGCTAGGTGTTCTAGTGGTACACTCTGTAATTATTATTTTACTACATGTACCAACACAATAACCAAATTCTGTAAACTCAGCATTGTAATCCTTATAGAGAATAAACTTTGAATCGATCATCACCAGATCTTCAATAAAGGTAAGTGTCATGTAACTGTGCATGTCTTCTTCAGTTTGTGTGTATTAAAATTAACATTTCATGTTTACCTGGAGTTTACCTGGAGAGAGTTCACTCCAGGTAAACATGAAATGTTAATTTTAATACACACAAACTGAAGAAGACATGCACAGTTACATGTCAGGAACGGATTAATTTGATTTCCATTATTTCTTGTGGGGAAAATTAATTCGGCTAACGATAATTTCGTCTAACGTTGAGCTCTCAGGAATGGATTAATAGCGTTAGGCGAGGGTCCACTGTATTTCTTATGGGGAAAATGGATTTGAAAATCGTCAATTTCGAAAATAGTCACACTTCCAGGAATGGATTAATTACGAAAAACAAGGGCCCACTGTATATTTATTTTTATGTCTTTGCAAACAGTACATTGAGATTTTGTATTTACAATAGTGGGTTGCAATGCAAAGAGAGCCTTTATTATGCCTAGACATTATAGGCCAACTTAACATTATTGGCTTACAGACTACTTAACACTAAGGATTATATCATAGTTGCACAGTAGGATAGTAATTATTTCATAGTTGAACAGTAGATTATTAATTATAAGTGAATCAAAATTTGTACAAGACAAAAGATGAGTTCATCTATTCAAAAATGCTTTTTGTGAAAACAATGATTCAATTATATTCCTGTCAACAAAAGGTTCAAAAAGGATAAAAGGTTCAAAGTGATTGCTGAAGTTATGTTGTGGGAGTACATAAGTGAGTATGTGCGTACTGAGTATTAGCGTTTAGTCTAGGGTGATTAAGTGGCTTTTGAGAAGAGTCCTAAATTGATTTTCAGACCGGGTCACTTTAATATCTTCTGGTAATGAATGCCATATTTTGGGGCCCTTTATGTGCATAGAGTTTTTACATAGTGTGATATGGATACAAGGTATATCAAAAAGGGATCTGTGTCTTGTGTTGTGGTCATGTGTCCAAGGAACCTCCGTTGAGGGGGTGTATATACCAAGGAACCTCCGCTGAGGGGGTGCATATACCAAGGTACCTCCGTTAAGGGGTGTATATACAGTGGTACCCTGAGTTTCGGCCATAATTCATTCCAGAAGGCTATTCGAGCGCCGTTACTAAACGAATTTATTCCTATAAGGAATAATGTAAATTAGATTAGTCCGTTTCAGACCCCCAAAAATACACTTACAAAAGCACTTACAATAATACACTTACATAACTGTTCGCGTTGGGAGCTGTACGAAACTCGGGGTACCACTGTACCAAGGAACCTCCGTTGAGGGGGTGTATATAACAAGGAACCTCCGCTGAGGGGTGTATATACCAGGGAACCTCCATTGAGGGGTGTATACCTGGAGAGGGTTTTGGGGGTCAATGCCCTTGTGGCCCGGTCTGTGACCTCTGTTGTGTGGAACCTCTGTTGAGGAGTGTATATACCAAGGAACTTCCATTGAGGGGTGTATATACCAAGGACCTCTGTTGAGGGGTGTATATACCAAGGAACCTCTGCTGAGGGGTGTATATACCAAGGAACCTCTGCTGAGTGGGTGTATATATACCAAGGAACTTCTGCTGAGGAGTGTATTTACCAAGGAACCTTTGTTGAGGGGTGTATATACCAAGGAACCTCTGCTGAGGGGATGTATATACCAAAGAACCTGTTGAGGGGGTGTATATACCAAGGAACCTCTGTTGGGGTGTACATACCACAGAACCTTCGCTGAGGGGGTATATATACCAAGAGGTCAGCTGACTGTTGTGGGTTATTAAGTTTATAAGAGATAAGATTTGGTTTGGATTTTTAACCCCAGAGGGTTAGCCACCCAGGATAACGCAAGGAAGTCAGTGCGTCATCCAGAAACTGTCTGTCTTATATCCACTGGGGTCCTAAATTTCGTCCCCCAGGATGCAACCAACACCAGTCAATTACCACCCAGGTACCTACTTACTTGCTAAGTGCAAGGGACAACAAGTGTAAGGAAACATGCCCAATGTTTCCCCGCTTGCCGGGGATCGAACCACGGACACTCTGTGTAAGGTGAGAGCATTGCCTACCAGGCTACGGGCCACGGGCCAATAGAAATAAGTCACTCTGTCTGACTTTTTTGGGTTATCCTAGGTTCTCTACACATATGCTGCTATGTATGATAATTCTATGTAACTGTATTTGTGTACCTGAATAAACTTACTTACCTGGAGAGGGTTTTGGAGGTCAATGCCTTCACGGCCTGGTATGTGACCAGGCCTCGCAGTGGATCAGGGCCTGCGACCAGGCTGTTACTGCTGGTCGCACGCAAACCGACGTACGAACCACAGATCGGCTAGTCAGGAACTGACTTTAGGTGCCTCTCCAGTGCCTTATTGAAGACAGCCAGGGGTCTATTGGTAATCCCCCTAATGTATGCTGGGAGGCAGTTGAACAGTCTTGGGCCCCTGACACTTAGTGTGTTGTCTCCTAGCGTACTCGGAGATGTTGCATCTCCTGCAGAGACTTTTTGCTTTCATAGGGAGTGATTTTTGTGTGCAAATTTGGGACTAATCCCTCCAGGATTTTCCAAGTGTATATCACATATCTTTCTCGCCTGCATTCCGGGTAATACAAATCAAAGGACTTCAACCGTTCCCAGAAATTTAGGTGCTCGATCGTACACATATAGTTACACAAATTATCATACATAGTAACATATGAGTAAATTACCTAGGATAACCCAACAAAAAGTCAAAGTAACTTATGATTATATACACTTGGAAAATCCTTGAGGGACTAGTACCAAACTTGCACACGAAAATCACTCCCTATGAAAGCAAAAGACTCGGCAGGAGATGCAACATTACCCCAATGAAAAGCAGGGGCGCTACTAGCACGATAAGAGACAACACAGTAAGTGTCAAGGGCCCAAGACTGTTCAACTGCCTCCCAGCATACATTAGGGGGATTACCAATATATTGACCCCTGACTGTCTTCAAGAAGGCACTGGACAGGCACCTGAAGTCAGTACCTGACCAGCTAGGCTGTGGTTCGTACGTCGGGTTGCGTGCGGCCAACAGTAACAGCCTGGTTGATCAGGCCCTTGATCCACCATGAGGCCTGGTCACAGACCGGGCCGTGGGGGCGTTGCCCCCCAGACCCTCTCCCATTGGGGACTACAACTGGTAATATACAATCTTGCTGTGCACATACCTTGAAGACCGCAACAGCACAGTAGGCAAAATCAGAGCACGAAGAATCAGAGCAGAATCCGAGTAGACAATCAGACACACACAACCACGCTGGCTGACTCTCAGTCTTCAAATGTTGTTACAACCTTTATTTAGGAAAGCTACCAAATTGTTTTTTTTTTAACAGGTAACAGAATGGATTTGTACAATGGTAATGAGGGAAATTGGGAACATATAACAAATGTTGTAGGCATACATTAATAATAATGATAATAATAATAAATTTTGTCATATATAAATACGTCACCTTGGACATGTACGAACTTTAGAAATAAATAATATCATTAAAGCCCAGAGTACACACACACATTATATGGATTTATCCTAAAATATGTCAATGTCACTCCAGTGTATGATAAGACAAGATAATATTTGTTTGGATATTTATCTCGGAGCAGAGCGGGTTAAGTAAGTTTATTCAGGTATACACAAATACAATTACATAGCTTATCATACATAGCAGAACATGTGCTGTTATATAGTCAGTACGTCATAATAATAACCTTCATATTACTATACATAAAGCCGCTGGTTATGCAGAGCATTTCGGGCAAATTAGGTCAGTTTTGTCCCAGGATGCGACCCACACCAGTCGACTAACACCCAGGTACCCATTTTATACTGATGGGTGAACATGGACAACCGGTGTAGAGAAACACGCCCAATGTTTTCACCCTTTGCCGGGAATCGACCCCGGACCCTCAGCGTGTGAACCGAGAGCTTTCGCCACCAGGCCACGAACCTGGTTATACCTGGAGAGGGTTTCGGGTGTCAACGTACCCGCGACCCGGTCTGTGACGAGGGTTCATGGTGGATCAGAGCCTGATCAACCCCGGCCGTTACTGCTGGCCGCACGCAACCCAACGTACGAACCACAGCTCGGCTGGTCATGTACTGACTTGGAATAAGTAAGTTTATTCAGGTATACACAAATACAGTTACATAGAATTATCATACATAGCAGCATATGTGTAAAGAACCTAGGATAACCCAAAAAAGTCAGAGTGACTTATTTCCATTGGAATGCCTGTCCAGTGCCTTCGTGAAGACAGCCAGGGGTCTACTGGTAATCCCCCTTATGTATGCTGGGAGGAAGTTGAACAGTCTTCTGCAGAGTATTTCGAGCTAATTAAGTGAATTTTGTCGCCAGGATGAGACCCACACCAGTCGGCTAACGCTCAGGTAGCTCTTTTACTGCTAGGTGAACATGGACAGCAGGTGTCTTAAGGAAACACGTCCTAATGTTTCTACCCGTTCCGGGGATCGAACCACGGATTTCACTGTGTGAGCTGAGTGCGCTAGCAATCGAGCTACGGGATTTCTTTGCCTACCACCCAGGTACCTACTTACCGTAAGATGAACAGGGACAAAAGGTGTAAGGAAACATGCCCAACATTTCACCTGTGCCGGGGATCGAACTACGGACATTATGTGTTTGATCAACGGGACACCCAAGTGTATTGAACTCTATTTCCCGGTGTCCTAAGAAAAAATGTTGCCCAAATCTACTGATTATCTACCATGACACCTATATCTGTTACAGTGTAGGCCAACTGGGAAGGAGGGAAGGGGGTGTTGCCGATTACGTGAAATTCTAATTCAACAAATATGGGGACCTAAGCCATCAGTTTCAGTAGGTTCGGAGATACTAATTGGAGCCTGGGGAAAACGTGCAACAGGCTTCCTGAAGGAACTGGGTTCTAGGGTCATCGATACCAAAAGAGACTCAGGGGCTGCCGCCTTCCTGTTCCAGCGTCTCAAGTGTGGCCATTCACAGAGATAATGCCTATTGTATTCTCGGCCCCCGCTCGTCTTCTGGACACTTAATTTATTTAAAACTTTATTGTGCATGTGTGTCAAGGTGTTACTGTAAAAACTGTACAAGTCAATGATCATTCCGCAGAGGCCAGCTGGTCGTTATCTGATAGCAGATCAATAGATTCCACCACACTTAGCCACCTGTCAGTAGCGGCTGTGAGGTGGATAGTAGCACCTGTGTGAAGTTGGTGTTACTCCAAGTGTTTGCTGCAAACACGCTATGTTTGTGAAGACTACAGAAGGACCGACGAGGCAGGACGTGGAGATGACTCAACAGATGATGCTGTCGTTGAGGGAGGAGATGGTAAGTGGTACTGTGTATTCAAGAACGAGCTGTTGAAAAAAGTTTCTGAATGTGTAATGGTGGTGCGTTATGGGGAAAACTAAAAATGGTTAGTTGCGTATGTTAGGGCAACATCTGGAGACATATTGGCGTACTGCTGACAGTGTAGAAAAGATAACGTTGTAGAACAAACCTCTTTATCGGGACAACATTTCGCTCTGTGTAGATCTTGAAAAAGAAATGGAAAAGATACTTGTTTGTTTATGACAATACAGCGTGTTTACCTGGAGAGAGTTCCGGGGGTCAACGCCCCCGCGGCCCGGTCTGTGACCAGGCCTCCTGGTGGATCAGAGCCTGATCAACCAGGCTGTTGCTGCTGGCTGCACGCAAACCAACGTACGAGCCACAGCCCGGCTGGTCAGGAACCGACTTTAGGTGATTGTCCAGTGCCAGCTTGAAGACTGCCAGGGGTCTGTTGGTAATCCCCCTTATGTATGCTGGGAGGCAGTTGAACAGTCTCGGGCCCCTGACACTTATTGTATGGTCTCTTAACGTGCTAGTGACACCCCTGCTTTTCATTGGGGGGATGTTGCATCGTCTGCCAAGTCTTTTGCTTTCGTAGTGAGTGATTTTCGTGTGCAAGTTCGGTACTAGTCCAGTGTGTATAAGCTAGGATCCGTAGGTTAAGTAAACCCAGACTAGGATTTCTATAGTCTGCTTATTATATATACACTAATCGTAGCTTATCTGCTACATATACAGTACATTAGAGCTCTGTTGCAAACCCAGTACATATACGCTAAAGACCTATAGTTTACCTACTACATATATACCCTAGATTCCTGTATCTTATCCAGTACACACACATACTTGAGCCCTGTAATCTACTCAGTACGTATACACAAAATAGCTCCGGTACAATACATATGTACACCAGTGCTCTGTTAGGCAATGCATACCTCGAGAGAAATACTTATTTCTGTCCTCTCCCGTGAAGGTCAGTAGACAAGGAACTGAAGTGAAGAGAATGGCTGAGAGACAAGTGGCTCTGCAGGTGGCAAGCATCCGAGAGCGTCTGGAGTGGTTCCTTCCCTTCTACGCCTCCTCCGTCGTCTTCCTGGGTGCAGGGTACCGCTCCACAAAGTCCATAATAGTCTTCTATCCCCTCATCCCTATGACGTTCGCCTTCTGCTACCAGCTCGACCTAGCCTATGGCAACAAAACCAATAGAATTAAAGGTAAATAGGATACATATGACGTATTATTTTATCAAATTATGACTTTATATTTATAAAGCTCTGTAAAGAGTGAGATGTATACTTAATTTTAAAAACTTGCTTCGCAATGTTCCTTTTCTTAACGTAAATTATTGATTCGTTTAGACGGAAATAACATTATTTTTCCCTTTCTGAGAATTAAAAAGTATAATGAACACACACATTCATCATCAAAGTATTGTTAGTATTATCAATACTAACCATCTAAGAAGATTGTCTTGATGATGGTGAAGGGCTTTTGATTCAAGGAATTGGAGGTATTTCCCCGCTTTTTGGATTAAACCCTTATTACCTTCCATTCATCACAAACTCTTGAGTGACTTCGAGGCCTGGTCATGGACGGGGCCGCGGGGACATTGACCCCTGGAACACCCTCCAGGTATACTCCAGGGATCTCCACGGGCTGAGCGTTTTCCCATAAATATACTAATAGAAAGCAGTCATACTTAAATGTACTGAGACAGTACAGAACCTTCACTCTATCCAAGGCTTCGAAGAACTGTAATCAAAAGTCACACACTGCCGCCTTGATAAAAATGGTAAGACTTGGAGGAATATTAAAATTATTTTTTTTTATTACGGGACTAAATAACAGCTCTCCTGATTACAAGGCCGCCTAATGGCCTCGGAGAAATGCTCACTCTTTCTTTCAGGGCAGGCGACATATCCGAGATTATCAATAATTTAGTTTATTGAACGCACAGAATCAATAAGATATCTAAACGATTTGGAGCACCTCTCAGCGCTCCTGGTATGTATGTTAATAAGTTCTGGTACAGAGAGAGACCTGACATATTTATGGAGAATATTTGAAAGTAAGGACAATAATTTACACATTGTGATGAATACTTACTTGTGGGAGAAACAAGAGTGAGTGTAGAATAAACCCAATGACGAGTGAGAGTGCCTTTAATCAAGGTTACAGAACAATGTACTCACCTAATTGTGGTTGCAGGGGTCGAGATTCAGCTCCTGGCCCCGCCTCTTCACTGACCGCTACTGGGTCCTCCCTCTCCTTGCTCCAAGAGCTTTATTATACCTCGTCTTAAAACTATGTATGGTTCCTGCCTCCACTACATCACTTGCCAGACTATTCCACTTCCTAACAACTCTGTGGATGAAGAAATACTTCTAACATCCCTTTGATTCATCTGAGTCTTCAGCTTCTAATTGTGACCCCTTGTTTCTGTGTTCCATCTCTGGAACATCCTGTCTCTGTCATTCTTGTCTATTCCACGCAGCATTTTGTATGTCGTTATCATGTCTCCCCTGGCCCTCCTGTCCTCCAGTGTCGTCAGACTGATTTCTCTTAATCTTTCTTCATAGGACATTCCCCTTAGCTCTGGAACCAGCCTTGTTGCAAACCTTTGCACTTTCTATAATTTCGTGTTTGACCAGGTGAGGGTTCCAAACTGGTGCTGCGTACTCCAGTAACATCCACGGTCCAAGACCCTTCAACCCTCTACCAGGAGGTACAAGAAATGTTACCGGAACAAATATATTAGATAGTATTTTACTGTTGTTGTTAGTATGAAGAGTCACTGCAAGTTTCATAACTTATAATACATCCCTCATTCTATAGATATCGCCGAGCAGATTATAACGAAGGAAGCTCACCTGATCCACGTACCTGTCTGGCACTACAGCAGGCGGAACCAAGACAAACGAACACCAAATGACAGCACACACACAACAGCCAAGGATGTCACTCACACCTACAACCAATGTTAGCACACTACAACCAGCAGTGCCACTCGCACCTACAATGGTTAGCACGCTACAACCAGTGGTGGCACACACTACAACCAACACTACAAGAGTATTACAGGACGTCCAAGGGAAGGGGACGAAACAGCTATGGAAAAGGGTAACGTGTGTGTGTGTACCCACCTATTTGTGGTTGCAGGGGTCGATTCACAGCTTGTTACCATTTTGTCCTAGGCACATGTCGATTAGACACTAGGCCTGTTGTACATGAGTACGTGTGTGTGTGTGTGTGTGTGTGTGTGTGTGTGTGTGTGTGTGTGTGTGCGTGTGTGTGGGGAGGCGTGTGTGTGTGCGCGGGCGCGGGGCACCACGCCTGATGCAGCTCCTCCCTGCCACCGCCCCCACAGTATTGACGCTGCCGTAGCACCACACATCCTGCCGTCTTCCCTCAGCTGTTCCCATACAGCCCCGCCCCGTGTACCTCTCCCACACCTCAGATAAAACAACACATTCTGTTTTTCGCGCAAGTGATTGAGTGTGCATGCGAGCACCTGGCCCCCACACGCGACCAACCAGGAAGGATACCTCCAGAGAACCAGGAGGGGGGATCACCTCCAGATAGATATCTACAAACACTTCTTACGCAGGAACCCAAATCCCGTCAAGCAGACGCCTTTCCTTTTGGGCTCGCAGGTAAAACTGTTGGAAGCATCTGTGGAGAATGTGTGTGTATATGTAAGAGGAGGGAAAAAAGGGTTAATATCAAGCAATATTAATGATGAAAGGTTCCGTGAGATGAGGCCATCCCTCAGTGGTCACCTTGGCAGTGAGATAAGATTGTGTGCGACGTACGAGCAGCAGGGTGGCTGAAGACAGGTAATGTTTACCAAAGGGAGAGAGTCTTAAAAAAATCTTTGTATTCTCAATAAATCTTTGGAGTGTACTCTCCGTACGTACAGTGAAGCGTGTGTGTATGGATATAAATTCTAGTGAACACAGATGCAATACATGATTAGGAATACAAGATGATCTCTGAAAAAACTTAAATAGTAATATGTGAACCTATCGGAATGATCAGCAGGACGCCCATCAGAGTTACTGTAAGGTGAACCCGTCAGAATAATTAACACCTTGAATATTTGGTGCCGAGGCAACAGGATGCTGTGGCACTGTAGTGCGTGATCAAAGAGAGACAGTCTGGCACCTTGAAAGGAGGAACACAAGTCATTTGCATGCAACACTGCGTCATTATGACTATTTTCAATAAGAGAGGGATGGGAAAGAACGCTAAAGCCATAAGTCATAAAGTACCTGAGGAATGGGAAGAAAAGGAAAGGCATTTCCAAGGAAAGGAAGGGTATCCGATTCTGTGAATGACGGCTCTCACGAGACAATATTTATCAGTACTACACTTATTGCAAACGATAATAAGTACTACAACTGTTGCAAGAGATAGCAATTGCTACAACTATTGGAAGAGATAGCAACTGCTAAATATTGTAAGAGATAGCAGTTGCTACAACTATTGCAAAAGATAGTAAGTACAACTATTGCAAGAGATAGTAAGTGCTATAGCTATTGCAAGACTGTTTTACAATCTTAAAATAAAAACAAATATAAATGAAAGTAATAAAGACAATAGACCACGAACACAATACTGCTCTTGTAGCTATATATATGTATTTATTAATAGATAATTACTAACATAAATTACTAATAGAAATTACTAATAGGTAATTGCTAATAGAAATTACTAATAAAAATTACCATTAAAATTAGTTAATAGGTAATTACAAATAAATAATTATATTCATGTCACCTGCAAATTTCCTTGTATATATATTTTTAAGCAACAAATCCGTCTAAGGGGGCGTCCTTCCTCTTTCTTGGATCAAACCTGATTACCTGCCAGTCCCCAGGCGCTGTGTGACCCCTATGCGTTTAGCGCTTCCCCGTGATCAGAGGAGTGACAGCATGTTGCAGGACTGGACGTTGGCCTCTTGCCAGCCTCCCCTGACAAGTGTCATTATTGCAGCCGTACCTGGAGACAAGTATACCTGGAGACAAGTATACCTGGAGACCGGTATACCTGGAGACCGGTATACCTGGAGGGTGTTCCGGGGATCAACGCCCCCGCGTTCCAGTCATTGACCAGGCCTCCCGGTGAATCAGTACGTGATCAACCAGGCTGTTACTGTGGCCTCACGTAGTCCAACGTACGAACCAAAACTTTAATAATCTCCCATCATACATAAGAGGGGGGATTACTAACAGTCCCCAAATTGTCTTCAAGGAGCTTGATAGGGTCCTGAAGTCACTTTCAGATCAGCCAGGCTGTGGTTCGTTAGCCCGTCCTCGCAACTACAGATGGCATGGCACTGTTATAAAAACAGTCACATGGAGAGAACAGATAAACGGGCAGTGACTGCCCGTTTTCTGTTCGCGCGGCAGAATATTTTATCGTCTTTTAGCTTATATTTATAGTTTCTGTTTGTAACCTAACTAGGGCCGGATTAAGAAGTCTCCGGGCCCTAGGCTATTCAGATTGGCGGGGCCCCTTTGAGTTACGGGTAAGCGAAGCGACCCCTTCCAGCTTGGGGGTGGAGGGGGGGATGTCGGTGTGAGCCTGTTTAAGGTCTAATTAAATACATTCTGGCTATTTAGATTAAATTTAATAGGGAAAGTACATCAAGACAACCAAAACCATTTACCAACAGCCATTATAACTATCTTGTTAAATCATGCATTTTAAAGAGAATAAACTCAAGACAGCATAGTATTACTAGATTAGGCTATTAAAGTAGCGACATCATGTACCTATTATATTCAGCATAACCACTACAGCACTATTATTCCCTTTATAAATCACTGACCATTATTGTTATCATTGCATCATGCATAAGACTGTCAAATCATATAAACTCAAGAAAGTAAAGAATTGTTTATATTCACAGGCACTTCTTAAATAAACTTTTTTCTGGATTTCATATTGGCAAAAATCATCAATTATATTCTGAAAATCAATATTTCTTGTTAGATCAGACTCAATGGTCAACAAGGCTAGGTTACACAATTTGTCTTGGCTCATTTTTGAACGGAGCTGGTTTTTCACTCTTTTCAAAACAGAAAATGAACGTTCTCCTTCACAGTTAGTAGCTGGAAGTGTTAGGTAAAGGCGATACACTATGTCAACATTAGGGAAGGTTTCTGAGATACCTGCATTTCTTAAATGTTTCAAAGTAGCTGAGGGCGCACATTTTTCAGGTGGAGCTTTAATCTGATTCATATACCCAGAAAAATGAACTATTTCTTCAACAAATGTGTCCTGAACATCTGCTGAAAGGTGTTGTTGCAACTTTAATGCAGCTTCTCTCAATTCTGCATCTGGCATAGTAGTAATTTTGAACAGAAATCCAAACTTGTCATTGAGATTCTGGTAGATTTCTTTTCTTTTCACCAATTCTGTAATCAGTGAATCCAGAATGACGAAGTATGTAGCTGTCTTACATTTCTTCAGTTAATTTGTCACAGTACAAGTCTAGATAACGTGTAATTACTACAGAAAATTGGAGAGGAATCTCCCATACTCACCCATTAGCGGGAAAACACAGCTGTTCTGATGTTGAGTGTTGAGTGTTGCCATCTATGGTTAGGTTTATTTATTTTTATTTTATTTTATTTCATTATTTATTTTTGTTTTGATTAATTTTTAAAAATCAATTTTACTCTCCAAACACTTGAACTTTTTAGGTAGGGACCCCTTTGCACTTGCACCATGTGCACAGTCTTGGATGGGCCCCTGAACCCCTTGGACTGCGGGGCCCCCAAATGCGCGGGGCCCTAGGCAAATGCCTAGTTTGCCTATGTGGTAATCCGGCCCTGATACCTAACCCCAGCCTAAATTAGAAATGGGCTTTTAACTCTGTGTGAGTGTGACATAGTTGTTAAGAGGACTGGCTAGGTCCCTACTTTAAATTGCGTGCTGCCAGCAGTAACAAGCTGGTTGTTCAGGCATTGATCCACCAGGCCTGGTCATGGACTAGACCGCTGGGGCGTTTGACCCCTCGGAACACCCTTTAAATAGACAGGTGTGGCTTGCCTACCTTGCCAGGTGTGGCTTGCCTACCTTGACAAGTGTGACTTGCCTACCTTGACAGGTGTGGCTTGCCTACCTTGACAATTGTGGCTTGCCTACCTTGACAAGTGTGGCTTGCCTACCCTGACTGGTGTGGTTTGCTACCTTGACAGGTGTGGCTTGCCTACCTTGACAAGTGTGGCTTGCCTACCTTGACAGGTGTGGCTTGCCTACCTTGACAGGTGTGCCGTGCCTACCTTGACAGGTGTGCCGTGCCTACCTTGACAAGTGTGGCTTGCCTACCCTGACAGGCGTGGCTTGCCTACCTTGACAGGTGTGGCTTGCCTACCTTGACAGGTGTGGCTTATCTCCACATAATCACAGGGGGAAGTGTTAAACGCTTATGGGTCATACCAAGCCTGGTTAGGTTTCTGAATTCATGGAAGGGTATTGTAGCTGCAAATCCTCGCCGGCTTACCGGTGCTGGGGTGTCAGTGGTTAAGCCACAACTGGCTTACCGTCGTTATAACCCCGTGGTTAAACAACAACCGGGTTACCAGTGTTACATACCCATGGTTAAGCCACCACTGGCTTACCAGAACTCAGTGGTCGTGTCTTTCAGTCTGACATAACTCGCGTTTTAACCCTGACAGCCACATTATAACATGTCTAAGCTATTTTAATGTAATTTTTTGTTATATTTAGTAAATAAAAGTCATCATGACGCTGCAGTCAGCTCTTTTTTTCTAGTGTGATTTCTTTTTTTGAGAGTGAAAGCCTAGCCAAAATTTGAATAGGTCTATTGTGGATACCAAAAAAAAAAAAAAAAAAATCCAACGCATTTACCAAAAAGAAAAAAAAATCCCACCATATACAGGACTGAGTGTTTCATATTTGCTCGAAGATTTTATAATTTATGTTCATTATCGTTTTATTTCATTGTATTCCATTTTTTTAACAATTTTTTATTTAGGTGAAAAGAGTTGATTTTTGTTTGGAATTATTTCTCCTCTTGTGATTGTATTTACACGAATGTATAAAAAAGTGGGAACTAAGTTACGGAAACGTTTCACTCAGCGGGATTAAGAAGGTAAGGATATATACGCACAGGTGTGTGTACTCACCTAATTGTGGTTGCAGGGGTCGAGACTCAGCTCCTGGCCCCGCCTCTTCACTGATCGCTACTGGATCCTCTCTCTCTCTGCTTCCTGAGCTTTGTCATACCTCTTCTTAAAACTATGTATGGTTCCTGCCTCCACTACTTCACTTGCTAGGCTATTCCACTTGCTGACAACTCTATGACTGAAGAAATACTTCCTAACGTCCCTGTGACTCGTCTGAGTCTTCAGCTTCCAGTTGTGACCCCTTGTCCCTGTGTCCCCTCTGGAACATCCTATCTCTGTCCACCTTGTCTATTCCCCGCAGTATCTTGTATGTCGTTATCATGTCTCCCGTGACCCTTCTGTCCTCCAGTGTCGTCAGTCCGATTTCCCTTAACCTTTCCTCGTACGACATTCCCTTGAGCTCTGGGACTAGCCTTGTTGCAAACTTTTGTACTTTCTCTAACTTCTTGACGTGCTTGACCAGGTGTGGGTTCCAGACTGGTGCTGCATACTCCAGTATGGGCCTAACATACACAGTGTACAGTGTCTTGAACGATTCCTTATTAAGGTATCGGAACGCTATTCTCAGGTTTGCCAGGCGCCCGTATGCTGCAGCGGTTATTTGGTTGATGTGTGCCTCCGGTGATGTGCTCGGTGTTATGGTCACCCCAAGGTCTTTCTCCCTGAGTGAAGTCTGTAGTCTTTGTCCACCTAGCCTATACTCTGTCTGCGTTCTTCTTTGCCCCTCCCCAATCTTCATGACTTTGCATTTGGCTGGATTGAATTCGAGAAGCCAGTTACTGGACCACATGTCCAGCCTCTCCAGGTCTCTTTGCAGTCCTGCCTCATCCTCGTCCGATTTAATTCTTCTCATCAACTTCACGTCATCTGCGAACAGGGACACTTCAGAGTCTATTCCTTCCATCATGTCGTTCACATATATCAAAAATAGCACTGGTCCTAGAACTGACCCCTGTGGGACCCCGCTCGTAACAGGCGCCCACTCTGATACCTCTTCACGTACCATGACTCGTTGCTGCCTCCCTGTCAGGTATTCCCTTATCCATTGCAGTGCCCTTCCTTTTACGTGTGCGTGCGTGTGTGTGTGTGTGTGTGTGTGTGTGTGTGTGTGTGTGTGTGTGTGTGTGTGTGTGTGTGTGTGTCAGCGTATATACACCTAGGGGTGTGTAATTAGCGTATATATGCTGATAGTTGAGTTTAATCAATATTTTAGGTATTAAACTATTCTTGACTGTTGGTGTACAGGTGACATGCAGCCTTACTGATCCTCGTGTAGTCGATAGGTTTTAAACTAGTAAATAACCGACCACCAGGGGGCTTTATTGATCCGCTGGAGTGGTATCTGGCGGGCAAGACGTCTTTTCAGTAAAGTTAGATCATGTACACGTGTTTGTTTCTATAACTTTATGTAAGTACACACACACACACACACTGTACACTGTGTATGTTAGGCCTATACTGGAGTATGCAGCACCAGTCTGGAACCCTCACCTGGTCAAGCACGTCAAGAAGTTAGAGAAAGTACAAAGGTTTGCAACAAGGCTAGTCCCAGAGCTCAGGGGAATGTCGTACGAGGAAAGGTTGAGGGAAATAGGACTGACGACACTGGAGGACAGAAGGGTCAGGGGAGACATGATAACGACATACAAGATACTGCGGGGAATAGACAAGGTGGACAGAGATAGGATGTTCCAGAGATGGGACACAGGGACAAGGGGTCACAACTGGAAGCTGAAGACTCAGACGAGTCACAGGGACGTTAGGAAGTATTTCTTCAGTCATAGAGTTGTCAGGAAGTGGAATAGCCTAGCAAGTGAAGTAGTGGAGGCAGGAACCATACATAGTTTTAAGAAGAGGTATGACAAAGCTCAGGAAGCAGAGAGGGAGAGGACCCAGTAGCGATCAGTGAAGAGGCGGGGCCAGGAGCTGAGTCTCGACCCCTGCAACCACAATTAGGCGAGTACAATTAGGTGAGTACACACACACACACACACACACACACACACACACACACACACACACACACACACACACACACACACACACACACACACACACACACACATACACACATACACACACACACACACACATACACACACACATACACACACAGCACGGATTCACGGAAGGCAAATCCTGTGTCACAAACCTTCTGGAGTTTTATGATAAAATAACAAGAAGTAAGACAAGAGAGAGAGGGGTGGGTTGATTGCATCTTCTTGGACTGCAAGAAGGCCTTTGACACAGTTCCTCACAAGAGATTAGTGCAGAAGCTAGAGCATCAGGCGCATATAACAGGAAGGGCACTGCAATGGATCAGAGAATACCTGACAGGGAGGCAACAACGAGTCATGGTACGTAATGATGTATCACAGTGGGCACCTGTGACGAGCGGGGTCCCACAGGGGTCGGTCCTAGGACCAGTGCTATTTTTGGTATATGTGAACGACATGACGGAAGGGTTAGACTCAGAAGTGTCCCTGTTTGCAGATGATGTGAAGTTAATGAGGAGAATTAAATCTGATGAGGACCAGGCAGGACTTCAAAGAGACCTGGACAGACTGGACACCTGGTCCAGCAAATGGCTTCTCGAATTTAATCCTGCCAAATGCAAAGTCATGAAGATGGGGGAGGGGCACAGAAGACCACAGACAGAGTATAGGCTAGGTGGCCAAAGACTGCAAACCTCACTCAAGGAGAAAGATCTTGGGGTGAGTATAACACCGAGCATGTCTCCGGAAGCACACATCAATCAGATAACTGCTGCAGCATATGGGCGCCTGGCAAACCTGAGAACAGCATTCCGATACCTTAGTAAGGAATCATTCAAGACACTGTACACCGTGTATGTCAGGCCCATACTGGAGTATGCAGCACCTGTTTGGAACCCGCACTTAATAAAGCACGTCAAGAAACTAGAGAAAGTACAAAGGTTTGCGACAAGGTTAGTTCCAGAGCTAAGGGGAATGTCCTATGAAGAAAGATTAAGGGAAATCGGCCTGACCACACTGGAGGACAGGAGGGTCAGGGGAGACATGATAACGACATATAAAATACTGCGTGGAATAGACAAGGTGGACAAAGACAGGATGTTCCAGGGAGGGGACACAGAAACAAGAGGCCACAATTGGAAGTTGAAGACACAAATGAGTCAGAGAGATAGTAGGAAGTATTTCTTCAGTCATAGAGTTGTAAGGCAGTGGAATAGCCTAGAAAATGACGTAGTGGAGGCAGGAACCATACACAGTTTTAAGACGAGGTTTGATAAAGCTCATGGAGCAGGGAGAGAGAGGACCTAGTAGCAATCAGTGAAGAGGCGGGGCCAGGAGCTATGACTCGACCCCTGCAACCACAAATAGGTGAGTACAAATAGGTGAGTACACACTTAGAAACAAGGTCAGCTTTTTTTTTTTTTTTGTTTTGTTTTTAGAAAACAGAATTATTCCATTCATTCTTAACGTGGTTAATGACTGGTAATTATGTATTCAGAAAGTGACTTATATTTCAGTGCCTGATGGACGCTGCCGTCTTATTTGCTATCAGCCAGACTGGTGACACTTGTGCCAGCCAGGCTGGTAGCACTAGTGCCAGCCAGGCTGGTAGCACTAGTGCCAGCCAGGCTGGTAGCACTAGTGCCAGCCAGGCTGGTAGCACTAGTGCCAGCCAGGCTGGTAGCACTAGTGCCAGCCAGGCTGGTAGCACTAGTGCCAGCCAGGCTGGTGGTAGCACTAGTGCCAGCCAGGCTGGTGGTAGCACTAGTGCCAGCCAGGCTGGTAGTAGCACTAGTGCCAGCCAGGCTGGTAGTAGCACTAGTGCCAGCCAGGCTGGTGGTAGCACTAGTGCCAGCCAGGCTGGTAGTAGCACTAGTGCCAGCCAGGCTGGTAGCACAATGCCAGCCAGGCTGGTGACTTCAAGTTTAAAAAAAAAGTTCTCGTGATAGATTCCCTGTTTAAGAGATGTCGCATTGCTGTGGTCTCCCACGCTTGCATGTTGCGTGTAGCTGGTTATAATGGGTAGTGGTGGTGGTGGTGACAATGGTTGGTGGCGAGTGGTGGGCGGTGACTGGTTGTGTATGGTAGTTGATTGTGGGGGGTGATAGTGAGGGATGGATGGTGGTAGTGAGTGGTGATGGTGAGTGGAGATGAGTGGTGGTGGTGGGTTGTAATGGTATATACTATTCTGGGTGTATATACACTGATACCCTTGACCTTAATCTCACGGTATATAGAGATACCTCAGTATATACACTGAGTGATACACCTCTCAGTATATACACTGAGTGATACACACCTCTCAGTATATACACTGAGTGATACACACCTCTCAGTATATACACTGAGTGATACACCTCTCAGTATATACACTGAGTGATACACACCTCTCAGTATATACACTGAGTGATACACCTCTCAGTTTATACACTGAGTGATACACATCTCTCAGTATATACACTAAGTGATACACACCTCTCAGTATATACACTGAGTGATACACACCACTCTCAGTATATACACTGAGTGATACACACCTCTCAGTATATACACTGAGTGATACACACCTCTCAGTATATACACTAAGTGATACACACCTCTCAGTATATACACTGAGTGATACACACCTCTCAGTACAAACACTGAGTGATTCACGTCTCTCACTACACATACTATAGACAACAGGCCAAATGTTTATCCCTAAGTGCCTTGGACAATCGGTAACCAATTAACACTGAGTGATACACACCTTTCAGTATATATACTGATACACACTTATCAGTGTATATTCACTGATATACTGATACACACTTATCAGTGTATATTCACTGATACAAACCTCTCATTGTATATAACTTACAAGTTTTAGTCTGGTAACATACAGCATTTAAACCACTGATAACGTAAACTAGGTGACAAATTTAAGTTAACCCACTGTTAACGTATTTAAACAACTGATATCGTAATGGAAATTCAAGATTAAATTTATTTTATATTTACTAAACTCATTGAATTTTCTTTGTTTATATTTGTTTGCCAATAGTTTGTCTTCCTTTTGTTTATTGGTAACACTTAAAGCCGTGGCTGTATCTTACATTTAGCAATTATGTCAACAGTATTGAAATAGCCCACATTACAGAGAAAGATATAGCAAATATTTTCGATCTAGTTAACTAAAGAGACCCCCCCCCCTCCCTCTTCGGGAGAGCCTCTAGCTAGACCGAAAATATTTGCGATGTCTCTTAGGTCGAGGTCCAGTCCCTGGATTCATTATGTGCCACTATAAGCTTTTTGAGCACCGTCCAGGGGATGGGTATGAGATGCATATTGAAAGTATTACACTTGAATCTCATACTTTGTTATGCGAAATAATGCAGCAGTTTTAACCCACCTCGGTAATGTATAGTTCAAATCAAATAAATAAGCAGACAACTTTATTTTACAACGTACAATATTTTTTTTTTGTGAATATTCGTACTCTTTTTTTTTTAATCTGAAAACAAAGCATACCAACTGCGACGTTTCCAAACCATTTGGTGTTGCTGTATAAGGGCTACAACAGTTTGTGCCGTATGAGCCCTGTTCTCAGAAGTCTAGTGAAGCCATTTGGTAGCTTCATTTGAAGCCCCAGTGTTGTTGTTTATAGGGCCACTACAGCTTACGCTGTAGAGTCACCATGTGAGTGTATTAAGTTGTCGACCAAATTGTAAGTCCCATGGCTGAAGACAATTAAGTCAGAGAATGGAGACGTTAACCCATTACCACTACATATAAAAGAGGACCCAAAACACACCACTATACTCTAAGTCGGGCAAGTCTTGAAATACGTTCGCTTTTTTTACGCATTTACATGCGTGGATTTCTGAACGATCTAAGCAATGAATAACATTAAATATTAGTTATTTGTGGGTAGATTACTGTAATGTGATCTATATTATCGTAAATTAATATAATTAACCTCTTATAACCAAATTAGACAAACAAGAGGGTAAAATCATCAGGGATACACCACTGTTGCACATTTCGTTGGAAATCATTCAATCGAATTTGGTATATGTGTATACTGTTTACCGTACGTGAAACACTTTCCACGTGTATATGCGACTACAGTCGCATATATACGACTGGCATCCGCTATCCCATAATGTAATTGTTAATTAGCGATTAACTACATTAGTATAAAAGTTAAAGTGACATAACTTATCATAAAACAACTAAAATTTAATAGGTGCAGAGATAAAGAATGTTCATTCAGAATCGGACGCACTGTAATGTGCAGGAAAGAAAACGAGGCCGGAGGTGAGCGTAGTGTCATTTACGGCTTCCTGGTGATTTTCGGAGTGTGTGAGAAGCGACTTGGTTTGATTTTCTGGGCGGTGGTACATGCCTCAGGTAGTGTACCTGTGTATGTACTGCACACCACGTACTTCAAGTCCACCTGGCACTCAGTCACCAAGTCCTCGTCGAACACCTAGAAGAAAACCATAAATACTGTAACTACTGCTAGAACTACTATTGCACACTGCTTCTGCTAGTGCTACTACCATTACTGGTTGGAGGGCAGTGTCGATATGAATAATACGAAATTATATCACACAAGGTATATATATATACTGATACTACTGCGGTACTAGTACAACGATATTACTACTGGTACTAGTACGGCTGTTGGTACTGCTGCTGTTGCAGCTATTACTACGACTGTTACTATTACTACGACTGCTACTATTACTACGACTGCTACTATTACTAATGACAATCGTGTTACTTCTGATATTATTATTATTGTTAATACAAATATTTTTTCATTCTTTTATTAGTACCGTAAGCCCGTATGTCATAAAAGTGCTTCACTCAATCAGAAACAAAAACTCAATGAGGCAGAGCTTAACCTACACTGATACATAAAATTACACTGTCGACTACAGAAATCTACCCAAGTCGAGTAGGGTCTCCCTGCCCAAGTAGAAATATCCCAGATTCGAGCAGAAATCTACAGGCTGTAGCAGGTGCCTGCTACTATCTTGGTGGGAAACGTTATATTAACTTACATCGTTGACGAGGATCCAAGGTACAAAGTAGAGCTGGGGGTCGAGCTTCTCCTCCTGGACGGCCACATCATGAAGGAGGTTCTGTCCTTCCAGAGAACTGACACACTCCTCCAGTGGTGCCCAGTCTTGTCCCACTTGAGCCGCGCACTGCACAATCACAAATAATTAGACGTGTTTATTTTGCCGTTTTATTCAATAGAGCCATAAATTAAACATGCTTAATAAGTATCCATCGTGTTCAAACTCAAGAGCGCGGGGTTAAATGTTGGGAACTATTCCCTCAAATTCCGTGAGGCAGTGGGTGGGGGGGAAGGAGGAAGTGCAGTGTGACTGTGGATAATACTAGCGCAATGTAGGAAATAGTTATTTTTATCTATTATTAAACCCGTAGAATTGTATAATCCTATGGGTTTAGGGCAGCGGGCCTCCAGCAGCAACAGCCTGGTTGACCAGGCGAGCACCAGACGAGCCTGGCCCATGGCCGGGCTCAGAGAGTAGATATACTCTCGAAATTCTTCAAAGGTATATCAAGGCTTCCCCATAATTATATAATTAAACAAAATTAAGAGAATTAACAGTGTGCTCCTGCCCTACTTTTTTATGATACTTAAATTGCGCAAATTAAAGCTATCTATGCTGCCCGGTCATATTCCATCACACAAGAAAAGTTGCGTACATTAATGAAATCTGTTAACTTGAGCTGGAATAGGCTTCAGTAATGTGATTATATATCGTCAAAAATTCCACGATGGGCTCGTTAACTACGACAACTTCAAAGGATTCGTTCCAGTAAAGCTGAAGTTACTATCACTTGGAAATTAGCACCTCTTAGGATTGCCTATCCCACAGGTACTCACTGTGGCTCCAGCGTTGGGAGGGTAGTCGGCTGAGAGCAGGCAGTTGACGAACTCCATCTCGATGTTGATATCCTTGAAGTGATCCTTGGCACATGCGTGGATCATGTTCCCGTGACACTCTTCATCACCGTGTTGACAGGTGAACACCCACCCGTCGCCATCTGCTTCGTACTGCAAGCCACAAGCACGGGGTTGGTCAAGGAAGCAACAGAAGAGCTGCCTAACTTGGTATACTGAATTCCATATACTAGTATTCCAGTAAGATGGCGGAGCGCCAACAGTATAGAGACCCTGATTACAGAGGTCTTAATGGTATAAAGTTTAACTACAAATGTGCTTGATAAAGCCGGGCTGTGGTGAAACGTGCCATCTGCAATCAGAGTCGCTCACCACACATGCAACATGTAGGTATAGACTCATAATCTGAGGAAATTCTCAGTAGTGACATTTCGTAACGACTGAGACGTGACAAGCTGCATCCACTCTTGTGATAACACAACCTATACTGCAATATTGTTAAAAAGTTGATATGGTACTGTTGCGACGCCTCTTAAGCTGATAGAAATTTATCGGCAAGTATAAAATAAATAAAACACTAGAAATTTATCATGTCCTCGATTAACTTTCCTACGAAGTCCGAAGGAGACACAAGTAGACAGATGGAAAGTCAGAAACACAGACTGTGTGACTACTTCAGTGGTACAGGGGCCTAGATGTTACTCACTTCGGCGTTACCAAAGGGGAACATCTCGACTTCCATGATGTCTTTGAGTATGGTCCAGGTCGGGTATAGTTGGGTGGTGACGAAGTCGATGCTGTAGGGGCAGAGCGTCTCATAGTAGAGGTCGATCTTCACCGGTGGGGCGTCCTGAGCCAGCGCCTGAGAGGGATGACGAACGATAAAAAAAAATTAATTTTAAACAATATAAATACTAATACTACTAATAACAATTATTATTATGTTAATATTTACGGGGGTAGCAATAAACAAGTACGGGTCATGTACCGCCTGGGGAATGAGCGGTAATCAAGTTTCACCCCAGAAAGGGGATGGTAGCTCCAATTCCTTGCATCAAGAGCCCTTTGTGGGACTGTAAATCACTAAATAACTGTATTTTTCAATAACTATTAGAGACCTCGTCTCCTTAAACATGAGCACAACATTTTGGTGTCGGTGATCTTCCCATTGTCATTTATTATATTTGTTCTTAATGAGTAATGCTGTCACGTTGGTTAACTGGGGTTAAAGCCTATCGACGAGGGTAATTAAGGCTATATGTTACCTGTTCACCACCGGTCAAGAATATTTTAATCCTTAAAATACACGAAGGAACATATGCATCTTGGTGTATACATTCCTGGTGGTTGGTTGATGGAGTTGAAAGCCTATCGATTACACGAAGGTCATTAAGGCTACATCGCCTGTTCACTACATTTTTTTTTTAATTTTAACAACCATTCATTTTAGTGACTTGTTTGTATTATGAAAGGAAATATCATAAATTGCCTTTTCCAGGTGTATTCAATTAGCTTACGTAGTTTTTCCAGTTTATTGCTTGAAACATCTAGCTATCGTTGGAAGATAATTATATCATAGTATCTTATTAGTTTAGTGTTTATATACGTGGTTCATGATTTAGGGCTGTCTATATATATTTAAACAATTTAAGAAAATGATAAATTTTTTTCTTGCTAGAAAGAACCGTCTAGCATAGCCTACAGTTATTTATGTTTAAATCAGGAACATACTAAACAAAGAAACTGTCTCCTTAGATAATCTTTCATGTTTCGACAAACTGCTACTTCGAGAACAGTTATGAACAACATTCTGCTCATGTCATTGAGTAATGTTTCTCGTGTTCCTTTGAAGAAAAGTTTATTCAGATTATTATTTATTAACCCCAGAGGATTAGTAACCTAGGTTAACTTAGCAAAGTGGGTTATTTCTTTTGGGGACCCTTGGTCCTTTCCCAGGATACGACCCCCCACAACAGTTGGCTAATACCAGGGTACCTACTTACTACTAGGTTAAAAGGGACAATTCGCCCGTCTTCACCCGACCTAGGATGAGGCCGGATCCTTCGAATAGGAACCGGAGGCCTTGCCACTGAGTCTTATAACAATTTTTTTTATCAAAAAACGAAAGGTATGAAAATGCTGCAGCCTGTGACTAAATATTTTTAGCGCATTAACTTGAATTCGGTAAACTTTTCAAGCCAGTGTAAGTTTAAAAAATGAATAAATACACAACTAAGTATTTACCGCAGCGAGGCAGGAGAGGAGGAGTAGTGAAGTTCTCATTGTGTTGGCTACTGCAGACTGCCTGCCCAAGCTTCTCCGCCAGGGACTCTTATACTGACGGGGGTCTTCTTTTGTGACTCACTTTCGCCGTCATCCCCTACATCCCTCCATCTGACATCTCACCACATAAACACACTCATACGTCCCTCACCATCTTTACAATTCAACCTATCCTCCTCAATCTTCATTACCAGATTTAATTTTCTCCAAATGTCATGTGGGATTTCCTTTTCCCAAACATATATACATGTATCACCTTCGTCCCTTCAACCTTCTATGATGACACTCTTCAGGTCGCTTGTTCTATCTAGGCTGGAATATTGCTGCACACTAACAGCACCTTTCAAGGCAGGTGAAATTACTGACTTAGAAAATGTACAGAGAACCTTCACAGTGCGCATAACGGAGATAAAACACCTCAATTACTGGGAGCGCTTCAAGTTCCTGAACCTGTACTCCCTGGAACGCAGGCGGGAGAGATACATGATTATATACACCTGGAAAATCCTAGAGGGACTAGTACCGAACTTGCACACGAAAATCACTCACAACGAAAGCAAAAGACTTGGCAGAAGATGCAACATCCCCCCAATGAATAGCAGGGGTGTCACTAGCACGTTAAGAGACAATACAATAAGTGTCAGGGGCCCGAGACTGTTCAACTGCCTCCCAGCATACATAAGGGGGATTACCAATAGACCCCTGGCAGTCTTCAAGCTGGCACTGGACAAGCACGTAAAGTCGGTACCTGACCAGCCGGGCTGTGGCTCGTACGTCGGACTGCGTGCAGCCAGCAGTAACAGCCTGGTTGATCAGGCTCTGATCCACCAGGAGGCCTGGTCACAGACCGGGCCGCGGGGGCGTTGACCCCCGGAACTCTCTCCAGGTAAACTCCAGGTAATATATATATATATATATATATATATATATATATATATATATATATATATATATATATATATATATATATATATATATATATATATATATATATACTTAAATTAAGTTGTAATAAACAACTGTCAATGGATAAACAAAATGGTGGACAAGGGGCCGAACCGCGGTTAGTCAAAGTGAATGATCATGATGAGAACAACCCACGTAACTAGGCATTGCACTTAGGTGTATAGCATGGGCAGCACGTGCGCTAGGTCTCACCGGTAGCATGTGGTAGCGATGGCAGCAGGTGAGCCAGTTCTCACAGGCAGCATGTACTAAGGGATGGCAGTTGGTCTCACTCATGAGCTACAGATTTCGCCTGTGAGAACTCTCACACCTGCCTCGCCGCCCACACAAGACTTACTGAACAAAACAAGAAGTAAAACAGCTTTCTATTATATATCACAAACAATACATCTCTTAACCATGACTGTCGTTTATATTCTTCGTCTGTAAGCTCCGATATGACCTCCACCAAGAGAAAGTAATGAGAGTATGATATCATCTCTTATCATAGTACCCCAGGAATATCTGGAGATATTTCTTTCAGGAAAAAACCCAATGAGTATGAGTGAGGCGGCAATCAAGGTTAATATTGCACCTTCTGTAGATCACCCCCCCCCCCTCAGCTCTCAGTATAGGGTCACCACTCTCCAGTCATCCCTCTGTATAGGGTCACTACCCTCCCGATAGCCCGAGTTCTGTTAACATGTTTCTCGTATTTTTATCATAATAGGGAAGAGCTAGACACACAGGGATCACACGACGCTTGGGAAATCGGAGAATAACCGTGTCTGGCTGAAGCAAAGGAATAGCTTTAATTTCGTAGATTAAGAGCCTTTAGCCGGGATCAATGCCTTAGAGGGCCACGCAGGCTACCGTTATGATGAAAAGTCGCAGACCTGTAATGCTGACCAAGTGAATCCACATGGCAGTGTGGCATCGTAATTTTAACTGGGGTTTCCCAAAATCTTCTCTATCACTCACGCCAGGCAACTGCTATTTTGGAGCGCAGGCCAAGGAGCTGACCTTAGAGTACCTAACATGTATAGATTAGATATTGCTCGTTATATTTCCAGAGTACAATCTTGTTTAAGGCAGATACAGTACATAATCAACATAATATATTATAAACAGAATAAATAAAAAGGTAGTTACCTATTTGTATATATAGCAGCAAAGCTATGCTGGAGTTGTCCCAATTGAAATTATATATATATATATATATATATATATATATATATATATATATATATATATATATATATATATATATATATAAAATATATATATTGTATATATGAAAAGTTTGTAGCACTTGGTACTTTATTTTTTGATTCATTCCATTCGTCTGCCACTCCATGAAAAAAGACAAATTGTTAATGAATAGAGAGAGAGTAATAATAATAAAAATACAAATATCCACATAATATACACTCACACACTAATCAAACAGATCAATGCACATACGGTGTGCAACCGTATACATGAGTAACAAATATTGTTTAACGTTGCAGATGATGACGTGGCAATGTAGACTGATTAAAGAACCAACAACGGTGACATAAAACTGAGAAGGCACTGTCCGCATCAGGCTGAGAGCCAGCATTACCCACATCAGGCTGAGAGCCAGCACTGCCCATACCTTGGCTATTACCTCCTTAACCTCACCAGGAATGCGTTGTGGACGGTGCCTGGCTCATGGCTCTCACCATGATCAAGAAGAAAGATTCAAAAGTAACCAAAAAGAAGGTGAGAGAGAAAACAGCATATATTATATATATATATATATATATATATATTATATATATATATATATATATATATATATATATATATATATATATATATATATATATATATATATATATATAAAGTCGTGCCGAATATGTAAAACTGGTCAGTTAGCAAGAACTCATTTAAAATTAAGTCCTTTCTAAAATTTTCTCTTATACGTTTAAAGATATATTTTTTCATTAATGTTGATGTAAAAATTTATAATTTTGCACCAAAAGGAACTTAGAAAACTTACCTAACCTTAATATAACAAGCTCAATTTATTTTAGCCTAACCCAACTAAATATATTTTAGATTTGTTTACAATAATTTAATACTAAACAAACACAGTGAAATATATTTTTTTCCTTAGGTTCAGAATGATTTTGGCGAAATTATTGCATACACAAATTTTCACTTGTCTTATATGGCAAGATGAGCGTTGCTATTTAAGCCAAGATCGCAAGTTCTGCCTATTCGGCACGACATATACATATCGAGAGAGCTTAACCTGTTTGATGCTGTATAGTCCTTGTGGCTTAGCGCTTCTTTTTGATTATAATAATAATAATTAACCTGTTTGATTTCATTCGGTGATAAAATTAAGGGATTACGGGAATCTCGCCACTTAAATGTGAGAAACTACTAGGCTTATTACCGTCCTGTAGTTGGCAGATTGGCACGCTAATGATTTACTGTGGCGATGAAGCATCTAGTTTACTGTTCACCAGTAGGTCATCCCGTGAGCTGTAGCGCGAAGAGAACGAATTACAGAGGTCATAATGGGTGTGACATTCAGGTAGTAGCAAGACTTGTCTTCCTATCACGTTGTCCCAATGAATGTTCTGCAAAGTGTGTTATATAGAATTTGCAATACGGCATTTTTATTTTTATTACTGTGTAGTTGAAGTGCTTTAATTAAAACCAAGCATCGATAATGCCGTAATTTAGGAGGCTTTCAAAGAGAAGTATAATTTATTGCAAAATAGTCACCTGGAGACTCGTAGCCTAAATTTAATATGTTATTAAACTTCATCAGTCTGATCGATCAAAGACCGGGGACACGGTTAGCGGATGGAGGATCGAGTTAAAAACCAATGGGAATTTAGAAAACAGTAAAAAGTAGCTTTGGAAATTCGTATACACGTTAGACAAAATAAATTACCTCATATAACGTGAAATTTAGTTAGATTATCTGAAGTTCCTATGTTTGTTTTTTTTTGTCCAAAAAAAAAAAAATGAAAATTTACATAGGAGAATTTCACCGTTTTCTTTGAGAGGTTGAATATTTAAGCGAGTCCAAGACTAAAGAAAATTTTGAAAGCTCATTATTTAAACTTCAAATAATATTTAAAAGATCCTGTCTCAGTGTTTGGCATTGAAAAATAAATATTGAAACTTCCTTGAGAATAATGATGAAAACAAATGACCCAGGGAATTAATATAGCATTCTGCATATTTGTCCCCACTTGCTTCATCTCTCCACTCTCCTGTGCTGTATAGCCCTTGTGGCTTAGCGCTTCTTTTTTTATTATAATCTAATCTAATCCACTCTCCTTCCCTCTTTGTTTACCCTCCTTCAATTCCTTTCTTTATCCCCCGCCCCTTCATATCAAACCTTTCCTTATTTATTTACCCTCCTTCATCTCTTTACTCTCCTCTTCATCCTTCGTACTTGTTTCCCCTCTTGCTGGCCCCTGCCCGTGCCACGGTGTCGGCAGGAGAGCGGGGGACCCACGCTGATGGTGAAGATGCTGGTGTTGCTCTGTGTGGTGAGCAGCATGGCTCTGGTTCTCCAGCTCAACCTCACTAACCAACAGAATCTCTTGCTCAGGTACGTTTCCTCTATTTCTCTCTCTTAAGTCGTTCCCTGTTGCTTCATACGTTCTTTGTTGTGGCATTCCCCGTTGATAAGGAATGTTGTTAAGTATGTTTAACATCCATATATGTTCAGCATCAGGAATGTTGTGAATTCACTCAGTGCTAAGACTTGCTATCACTGTCAAGTAAACTTACGATTTAAATATATGTTCTAAGATAGGCTTCCCAGTAAAAAAAAATCCATATACTACAGCAGCTTACTTGTGGTTCAGTTGATAGCCACCACAGCTCTCACACACTCAGGGACCGGAGATCGCTCCCCGGCATGAGTGAGACATTGGGCATGTTTTCTTAATCCTGCTGCCCCTGTTCACCTAGCAGTAAGTAGGTACCTAGGTGTTAGTCTATTGATGTGGATCGCATCCTGGGGAAGAAGATTAAAAGGACCCCAATTAAAATTAGTCAGTCCTCAGTGACGCACTGACTTGACTGGCTTACACTGGGTGGCTAACCCTCCAGGTTAAAAATCCGACCAAAATATTATCTTATAGTAATAGTACAAATAATTGCTGATCAAATATTTAAATTAATATTTTGTTCCTTTTCCTCCACAGGAACATCAAAGGAATGTAAGTATTCTGACTGAACAACGATAACGGCATTACAGAGAACAAAAATAATTATAATAATTATATTTATTGAATTAATAATAATAATAATAATAATAATAATAATAATAATAATAATAATAAATGTACAACAGCAGCTCAGTTTACCTCGATGTAACGTCTCTACAAATATGGTGACAAACGAGCTTTCCAAATAATAATAATAATAATAATAATAATAATAATCCTACAAGCACGGACGACCTGATGCATTTTCTAGGTCCTGATCGATATACTGCCAGATTTTCGAATGACTTGTTGATTTCTTACCCAGACTAAATCATTGTGTCCCATCGATTACGTTCATAGTTGAAACTGAGCATGATGGCTCAGGTTGGGAAGAATTTTTAAGTTTAGTGTTAGCAGGAAATCACAAACATTTGCTCACATGTAAAGAACATTACTATTCAGATCTCCATGTTTTTGGCATGCTTTGCAGGTCTACAGCACTTGAAATATTTTGACTGAGAGATGATGAAAATTTATATTGGAACTAAACATAAGTACCCTGAGGCGTTCATAGACTCTTCGTACTGGAAAATTAAGATGCTTTCCAACCACCTGAGTAACTCGCTCCATTTTTACCTTGTTGATTTTGCCTTGCTCACAAACTCTTACAAATATTTCCAAGGTTCTTGAAATCTTTAATATCAGTTTTGCATTTAAGAATGACTGCTCTGTTAAATCTAATAAAAAATGCACCACTACCCTCCCCCCCTTTTTACAAGGGGGGAGGGTAGTGGTGCATTTTTTTACAAGGCTAGAGTAAGGTTCCTAACTTTATTTACAATCTAAGAGCTATTACCTACATCAGCTCATTTAAAAGCTGATGTAGGGTGCTAATAAAATTTCTTTACTTTTATTGCAACTCGCTTAATTTGAGTCAGACTAATAAATCTCTGGCTGTGAGACTGAACAACATAGGTATTGTATCAAACCAGAGCAGGCTTCTGGTGCTATTTTTTCAACATTTTAGTATTCATTTACATTGTAAAAATTGGCAGTCCACTAAGGCACTTGTTTTCAGAAATAACTTCACAAAACGTAACGTCAGTGAGTCTTGTTTGATGAAGCACCTGAACGGTAAGACAAACAATGATGAATCCTAGCTCTTTCAATCTCAGTCCTTTGGAAATTGGACATACTAAGGTTTTGAAGTCAAGTTGGTGAAGAGATCGTAAATTTTAGTGCGTCTGAACTTAAATGTGTATTGAGGTCTAATTTTTTTTCGTGTGTGTGTGTGTTTAGGTAAGATTTGTCAGAAAACGGTACAATGTTTCCTGAAACGGGTTTTGACAGATGACCCGCCGCTGGAGCTTACGGTTAGCTGACCGGGGCTTTCCATTGGTATACCCGTCCACCCCTTTAAAAACTGTATACACATTTAGTGTGTTTAATGACGCATATCCTTTATTACCAGCGCTTAATGTCGTTTTCCTACATGTTTCTTGGGATATCATGGGTTACTTATTGCTATATTCATGAGGAAGTGCTTTATCCTGAGATATTAATCCTAAGAATATATTTTCTTCATTGTTTGCTGTGAACTGTTCTTGTGCAGGGAGGAGCCTCGGGCATGGTCAGCACAGAGAGCAGTACCCACCTGCCGTCCCCGCCGTCATCTGGTATTCCTTAAGACACACAAGTGCGGCTCCTCCACTATACAGAACGTGTTGATGCGCTATGCAGACGCCCACAACCTGTCGGTGGCGCTGCCCTACTCCGGCGTCTACCTGGATGCCGTCGCTGAAGGACAAAGCCTGAAGGTGAAGAAACTAAAGGATTCCCCTTTCGCCCCTCCTTCAGGAAGGTACCATTTCCTCATCCATCACACCAGACTCAACGTCCGAGCCATCCAGCAGGTGTGTACACACGTAATACTACTAGCTAACTACTTTTTATATAGCTTTACATATAGCATAATTATATTTATGGAAAAGTGCGAAACCTGTAGGAGTCATACAGTGCCTGGGGTATGGGAGGTAATGAAATTTGATCCGATAAAGGGGAGTTAGCTTTAGTTTCTTAAGTCAAGAGCTCCTCACCAGCATCTATCCACCAACCTCCCTTGAAGGGACAAGAATAAAAACAAGCAGGCTTACAGGACTGCCAGTTTGAGCTTCACTGTGCTCTGACTCGTCAGGATAACCCAAGAATTCCACATGGCTTAACTGTAAGAAGCCCTACAGTGGAAACTTAGGATGATTTTAACAAGCTACTGATGGCAGAAAATACTAACACTGATGGATACAACACATGCGTATAAAAACTTTCACCTGCACAACAGGCTTTTTTCAGTCTTTCTTTTTTTGACTGAAGAAGCCTGTTGTGCAGGCGAAACATATCTGCCATAGTAATACCTAAGAATTGTAAAATGTGTCTTAGTCATCAAGATGGCATAAAAATTGCAAAAAAGTAACAAAACTGAACGAAAAAATTTATTCTCTTTTTTTTCATTAAAGATGAAAGTTTTTATTACTTGGTGTGTCAAAACTGTCCTGTGGGATGCAGTATTGCATGAAGCTCATCCTCTTACGAAGTATGACACAAAAACCATCCTTTGTGATACAGTATTGCATGAAGCTCATCCTCTTACGAAGTATGACACTAATCTAACTTGTCTGAACCAGTGCGAAATGAAACCCACCCAGTGTAACGCAGTAAAACACGAAACCCATCCTGTGTTGAAGTGCGACATGAAATCAGTCCTGCGTGATGCAGAATGACACGAAAACCAGGATAGCCACAAAATGCGGTGAACTTAAGTTATGACTGAAACAATACACTTCAGGCATCATTACGTGACAGCTTACAGATACAAAGGTCGCCCTCGTACGTGTGTTTACGAGATTTATACACAATATTGCAGGTCTTCCAGGGGGATGGGGGGGAGGGGTGCTTTTATGCCCATGTTAACTGACAAATTTTAACTTACACTACACAGTCTTAATCAAAAATGATTTCATCCTTTTTCATAAGATGGCTCAGCCATTAAAGATTTAATTAAGCACTCCAGAAGAAGCATAATCAATTTATTTTATAGACAATAATATCATATCATTTTTAAAATGAAATTAGCAAATTGGTAAGTACGCTCTCCATTAATTGTCTGGATCTTCTTAGAAGAATACACCGGTGTTAAATGTTTGAAGCCGATCAAGAATTTTCTCAAGTTGTCACACAGAAACCAAATTTGGGAATGGTCGACATAAAGTACAGCATCTATTTGCACGTGCCAATAGTTGCTTGACATTGTTCTAGTTACTGACACCAGCACTGAGAATTTGAAGCGTTCTCAAGTTACAAACGAATACTGTGGAGGGAAGAAAATCAGGAAAACACTTAAAGACACACACCTTCAGGGATACTGAATAACAGGACTTAAAATGACAGTCATCCTGATGTTTTAAAATTCTTCAGGGGCGACAGTGTGGCACCAACTAGATTATCAATTTAGACACCTAAAAGGCGTAAATTTTACTGAGAACAATTATATGCCATAATTGCCGGGTCAGCAAAAAAAAAAAAAAAATTGGCTTGGCAGCCATTTGATTTGCTAATGTAACCCTAATGCATTTCATGGTAAATAAGGTTATTATTATCAGTAAAAGCAGTGACCATGATACGTGTGACCCTTGACCTTCCCTGTTACAACTGATCCTTGACCCCTGATCCTCAGGAACACCTAAATTTGTATAATACATACGTATGAAGTCTTCCCTCTTGTTCTTTATTGTTTTACTATTTATGACATTTCTATTGTTACCCAGCACACAGTTCTCTTAACCATATTTGGGATACCTTATATTTTTATTGTTTACAGCTGCACAATGCCGTCTCTTCCCACGTAAACGCCTAACCTTCCCTTACACAGCTGACGTATGACGACTCTGTGTGGGTAACCATCGTGCGGGAGCCGTCAGCGGTGTTTGAGTCCATGTTCCATTATTACCACCTCCACAAGTTCTATGGCTCCACCTTTGACCACCTTATCTGGAAGCTGGAGGGCAATGCAGGAAGCAAGGCAAAATTCAAGAACGCTAACAGCAGGTGAGGACGCAAAACTGTGAAAACTTTTACAAACTTTACTATTAATTAAATATTCTACTAGTAATACTACCACTACTCTCTGCTACCTTTATCGCTTCAAATACTACAACTACTACTACTGCTTCCATCCTTCCCTCTTAGTAACGTGTTTTATGACTATCTGTTTCTTCTTGCTCAGCTGTGACCTAAGACGAACCAAAACGTCGTCATAAGCTTCCTCTTTTCAGTGTGGATTATTTTAAAATTATTCCAGCCACGCTATATGAGTCATTCTTCCTGTGTATCTTAACACAGCTGCTTTCACACTACCATCAGTGACGCTTGTAATGAAAATAGGAATTAAATCCTCAGTGTACCGAAGGATACACATACCTCTCGATGTTTTGTCCTAATAATAATAATAATAATAATAATAATAATAATAATAATAATAATAATGTTGCTGCTGTTTGTACATCTGGAAAATTATTACTGCTACAGCAGTGACGAATTTACCTGGACCTGGAGTCTACCTGTATATATTTTACTGTCTTCATATTATGCCCATGTATTGTAGCGATAAAGCCACTGGATGGCGAAACGTTTACAAGTAAAGGTACCCAGATATTTCATATGAGTTTAATTCACCATCTTGTATATTAATGTTGCGTTGTAACGCCTCCGTCGAGTTTTACGGTGCAACATATTTGTCCGAATATACTGGTAACACCTATTTGGTTTACATTTGGAAATATACACAGGAAGCGATTCATTCGGCGAGGTGAGGAGATTTTGGAGTCTTGCGTCCCATGGGCCACATGTTACATCTCAACACCACGTCCCTTATTTCACTTCTTCATACATATACTCGCCTTGTAGGGATGTCATATAACTTCCATGGGTCACCGTAATTATATCTTTGCGCAAGTAATATTAGATGCATCTGCCACTATTACCCGGTTAAATTTAACATCTTGTAGCACAACAAAAATCCACTAGGCGTTCCCATGCGTTCAACACGGGACAGTCTACCAATTCTTAATAATTTTTTACTTAAAAGTGGCCAAATTCACATATTTTCTCTATCTATGTTTATACATTCACACTGAGGCTACACAGTATCAACCGAATTTTTATTCTTCCCCAAGATGCGTGACGTACCTTATATGTACAACATTTAATTAAACTCTGAGTTCACAATTATACTGTTATTTTTTTTATACATTCTCTTAACCTTTTAAATACTTTATCCAAATTTAGGACAATATTATAATAAATGGAGGACGTGTTCATTCGTAAACCTACATGTATGTTACTTGTTTTACACACACTCTCCTTAACTAAACAAATTTACAAGTTAATAATATACTTATGATTGGCATAAACTTTGGTAATAGATACCGACAAATGGGCTTGGAAAGACACGTGAGCAAACACTAGGACATAGTAGAAAACGTTTCGGTCCTTGATCACTTCTAACATAGAGCCAAAAATGACTCCATATATAAGCGGAAAGTGAGGTGTGAGTGGCACATGGTGATTTATGATTAAATTATTCGGAAAACCTGGAGTTTACCTGAAGTTCCGGGGGTCAACGCCCCCGCGGCCCGGTCTGTGACCAGGCCTCATGGTGGATCAAAGCCTGATTAACCAGGCTGTTACTGCTGGCTGCACGCAATCCAACGTACGAGCCACAGCCCGGCTGGTCAGGTACCGACTTTACGTGCTTGTCCAGTGCCTGCTTGAAGACAGCCAGGGGTCTATTGGTAATCCCCCTTATGTATGCTGGGAGTCAGTTGAACAGTCTCGGGCCCCTGACACTTATTGTATTGTCTCTTAACGTGCTAGTGACACCACTGCTTTTCATTGGGAGGATGTTGCATCGTCTGCCGAGTCTTTTGCTTTCGTTGTGAGTGATTTTCGTATGCAAGTTCGGTACTAGTCCCACTAGGATTTTCCAGGTGTATATAATCATGTATCTCTCCCGCCTACGTTCCAGGGAGTACAGGTTCAGGAACTTCAAGCGCTCCCAGTAATTGAGGTGTTTTATCTCCGTTATGCGCGCCGTGAAGGTTCTCTGTACATTTTCTAGGTCAGCAATTTCACCTACCTTGGAAGGTGCTGTTAGTGTGCAGCAATATTCCAGCCTAGATAGAACAAGCGACCTGAAGAGTGTCATCATGGGCTTGGCATCCCTAGTTTTGAAGGTTCTCATTATCCATCCTGTCATTTTTCTAGCAGATGCGATTGATACAGTGTTATGGTACTTGAAGGTGAGATCCTCCGACATGTACCAAATTTTCCACAATAATGATAATAAATTTTATTTCTCTCATATTTGCTGGACGCTGGCCTGGGCTTCAGGTATATGGGAAGGCTGGGCAAAAACCAGATGACCTGGGACCTGGGACTTGACGACCTGGACATGCGACAGGAGTCATTGCTGAAGGAAGCCATCAGGATCCTCGACCAGAACTTCCATCTTGTAATGGTGAGGGACGATGTTTGGCCAAGAGGGAGAGAGAGAGGGGGAAGAACAGAAGAGGGAGGGTAGGAGCAAGGTTTGCGGATAATTATTATTAGTCACAAGAAAGCGCTGTGTCATAAAAGCTTAAATTCGTGGGCAGGTGGCGGAGCGCATGGACGAGTCTCTGGTGCTGATGAAACACTTGCTGTGTTGGGGAGACGATGACGTGGTGGCCATGGCTCGAAACGTGCGCAGGGACCGTTACCGAAGCTACCTCAGCGAGCACTCGGTCAACACGCTCGAGCACTTTAACGCTGCTGACGTCAAACTTTACGCCTTCTTCAAGGAGAGGTGGGTATTTGAGAATATTATATATACATATATATATATATATATATATATATATATATATATATATATATATATATATATATATATAATATATATATATATATATATATATAAACCGCGAGGTGTATGCCTCTGAGCGTATATACACTAAGAGTTTACTTTAAAGTATTCTTCTCTGGTGGTTAAAAGGTTATATGCAGCCTTATGATCAAAGTGTAGGCGATAGGCTTTAAAGCATATTAATCAATCACCTGTTTGTAGTTGCAGTGGCCGCGTCATAACTCTTGGCCCTTCCTCCTAGCCTCTTGGGGACTATCATTACTATTCTTTGGTGGTACTGAATTTAATATTACTGCTACTACTACTACTTTTTTGTGGTATTTATACCAAGCTTGTTATTAAATTAGTAACGCTCTTGCTACTTGTGATATTCATTTTAAAAAGAATGCCATTAGTATATTATTACTATTGCTCCTGCAGCCTGCTACCGTTTTTATTTATACTCTACTATAACTGCTGCTATTAATATATCTTCTATTACTACTACTATTATTGCCACTTTCTACTAGGATGATAATAATACTATCTGCTAATTCAACATCTACTCTTTACACTACTGTACTATCACTACTACAACTGCTTCTAATATTTTAATGTCTTCACTTCCTGCATCAGGTTTGATAAACATATAGAGGCCTTCGGTCGCAGTCGTATGGAGGAGGAGGTCGCTACTCTGAGAGAACTGAGAGACAAGGTGAGCACAGTTATCTGACTTACCATTTGTTTAGTGATGCAACATACACATGTACGCACGCACATCACACAAAAAGTTTCGACTCCACAGGAAAAACAGAACTGCCTAAAACTAGGGTAAAAAAAAAAATATGTAAAAATACCAAAGCTATTCACAATTATCCTATATATTTGAAGGAGAAAACTAGACCTCGTTTCGTTCGAGGTTCCTTTAACTTTTGCAAATTAATTTTCAAAAATGAAATGTAATTTCTTGAAATATGAAGTTACGTATAACTGCATATAAGAAAGTACTGGTTTGAAAATAGAGTTGAAGATGAGTGGAACTTCGAAGTAGCAGAGTCATTGAGGCGAGAACTTTGGGTAGGTTTAAAATATAGGTTGAACGGGTGTGAGTGAGACCTACTTAGCATGGGCTAATATAGGCCTACTGCAGTGTTGCTTCATTCTTGTGTTCTCGTTTTGCTTCCAGGTGTGGAAGGAGTGTGGGCTGAGGGAGGCGGACATTACAACCTTCGCGAAGCGTCGCTCATACAGTGACAAGGAGCGTCATCTGGTGGTCCAGTACAAGACGCATCACAATGGCTCCACCAGGTGATTATTATTATTATAATCAAGGGGGAAGCGCTAAACCCGTAGGATTATACAGCGCCCAGGGGGGGATGTGGAAGGCATTCAGGCTTAATTCGGGGAACTGGAGCACAGATTCAATTCCCTAAATCAAGAGCCCCTCACCAACATCAAGGAACCTTCCATGAGGGGACCACCAGGTGAGTACTGAGACATTTACTCTAGGTTGAGGGTACTCTTGGTGATTATTGAGACATAGGTCCTCCAGATGATTATTGGGGTATAGGAAGTCTTCCAGGGTGAGTAGTGAGACAGATTTTCCAAGTCGAATACCGAGATATGATATTCTCCAGGTGAATACTCTGAGATGTGGAGGTTTTCCAGGGTGAGTACTGAGAGGAGAGTCTTCTAGTGATTACTGAGGCATAGAAGTCCTCCAGGGAAATACTAAGACATGGGGGGTCCTCTAGGTGAGTACTAAGACTCTCGGGGTCTGCTACCGTTAAGTACTAACATGCAAATGTCTTCCAAAGACAAAGAGGATCCGCCAGGATAAATATTGCTATGCAGACGTCCCCCAGATAAATATAAGGATCCTCCAGGTAGGAATCACTGTATAAGGGCTCTTCAGGTAAGTACCGAGGTCTGGGGGTTGCTTCGACTTAAAGTCCTTCTAGTAAAAATCACTAATAGTAATTGTAAAAATAAATACACAAGTAAAACAATTGGCTCTTTTAATTTTGCGATGGACTAATTTACAAAAAAAAAAAAAGTTATGTCAATAGCGAACAATATAACCGTGTTTAAATAACTATTCAGTGTACAATGCACTTTTCTACTTTTCTCGAAAAACATTAACAATCTGAAAGCTTATAATTAATGAAGAATAACAGCCACAATACTGTGGCTGGAACAATTCACAAATAACAAACTGGAAACAAAAGGTTAACATTTCGGTTCGTCCTGGAAAATTGTCATGTCGGGAGTAAGGGAAAGAAGGGCACTGATTAGTACATTTCACCCTCCTCTTTACCTGACTTCTTGCTCTCTCTAACATTCTTAGAAAAGCCTGGCCTGACTTCTTGCTCTCTCTAACATTCTTAGAAAAGCCTGGCTGCCAAAGTAGTTTGTTTTCCTTCGTGATTAGCCGGCGGGGGATCGAGCCTCAACCACTCGTTGCGCTAAATGACCCCCTTTCTCACTCGCGACTTGATAACCCAAAAGGACCGAAACGTCGTCCAGTTTTTATTTCCAATTTGTGGGTTGTGAAATCTTAGTGATATTGGACACGGGCTTGAGCGCTCATGACGCTAGCTTGAACACTCACTGACACTGACTTGAACTCACTGATACTGGCTTAAACACTCACTGACACTTGCTTGAACACTCACTGATACTGGCTTAAACACTCACTGACACTTGCTTGAACACTCACTGATACTGGCTTGAACACTCACTGACAGGCTACGGAAATTCTGCAATGATCTGATCCGCCCCAGCACGGAGTACACACAGAAGCTACGGTGGAAGCAGTACAGCCGCTATCACCACACCAACAACAACCCCTGGAACCTCACATGGTCCTCCTACGGCAAGAAGAAGAAGAAGACGTCGAGGAGAGCGTCGGTCACCGGCAGGAGGAACCACGCCAAGGGAAGTCGCCCCAACAATGATGGGATCTTTCTCAACCATCCTCACAACACTCCTGCAACGAGTATCATAACGACTACAGAACAAGAACTAACGCCATAATTTAGCTGATGTGTATATTGAGCTATTTTTTTCCCGGTAGTTACGCACTATAGGATATGTATAATACAGTACAGATTCTGTGCATTTCTAACGTCATTTTGGTTGTGTTGTAGAGTAAACACGTATACATTTTCACATCATTGATGAACCTGAACGAGCCCTTTTTGTCAGTAGACTAGTATGCGAAATGGGGATATATATATTTTTGAATGGCAAAGGATAAATCATCATACTTAGCATGTTAAATGTGGTCATTTTCATTATTCTTACGACTGATATTAGTGATTTATTATTATTATTATTATTATTATTATTATTATTAATACTTCTTTCGACAAACAGGCCATATCCCACCAAGGCAGGGTGTCTCAAAAAGAAAAACAAAAGTTTCTCTTTTTAACTTGAGTAATGTATACAGAAGGGGTTACTAGCTCTTTGCTCCCGGCATGTTAGTCGCCTCTTACGACACACATGGCTTACCGAGGAAGAATTCTGTTCCACTTCCCCCGAGGTACAATTTTAACTTCTCAGTATTTTTAGTTATAAATTTTCTTTGCAAAAACTTTAATTACTATTATATATATCAAGTTTTTTTTATCATCCTAACTATAGAATAACCAAACTTCCTAAAAAGTCTATATATGAGTGTTTGTATGTTTGTACATGTATGTGTAAATAAAAGCATAAAACTATATAAAAGTCAATAGTATATGTATATGGAGTACTTGTAGTACACACACACACACTAAAAATCAAAACTTTTCTGTACATTATATTAACTGGCATTATACTCTATAAATTGTTTTTCCTACACAACGATATTAACTAATTTTATGTCTTCGACGATAGTATTTCCACAAATCAACCCGACAGTCGATACTAATAGCCATTTTTTTAAATGCATCACATTAGTAATTACAGAACTACGTTAAGTTCTCAGTCTTTTGAAAACATGAGAAGCCCAGAGAATCTGTCTCGGATATATTAGATAAAAAGTTATAAGCATAACTATAATTTTTAAAGGGGTGGACCGGTAAACCAGTGGAAGGCCTCGGTCAGATGACCGAAAGCTCCACTGCGGGTCATCATGTGACTAAAACCCACGTCAGGAAACACCTCTCCTGTTTCCTGACGAACTTGCTTAACCTGTCTCAGATATTACCCACGAATTTACTAACTCGAGGAAGTAATGTATCTGTGCCTCCGTGTTCTATTCACAAGTGACCCGCACTTAGGAGAGGAAACTTACAACGTTTCGATCCAGGACTGGCCGAAATGTCGTCATAAGTTTCCTAAATGAGGGTTATCCGTGAATTGTTCCAGCCACGGTATTGTGACTTTCTGGAGAGTTCTCGATAGCAACCTAGTCTAGTATTTCCTCGGTTCTTCCTCTATTTTTTTTGTATTTCCATCTTTTTCTTTATTATCTTTGCATACCTATATTTTTGTTCGATTCAATGTGCTCGTGGCTCAACTGATAGCGGCCTCAGCTCACACACCGAGGAACCGGATTTCGATCCCCAACGAGTGTAAATGTTGGGCGTTTTTCTTACACTTGCTGCCTCTGTTTACCTAGCAGTAAATAGGTATCTGGGTGTTATTCGACCGGTGTGGGTCGCATTTTGGTGGAAATAATTAAAGGACCCCAATGAAAGTAAGCCAGTCTGATGACATGGCTTTACTGGGTTATCCTATTACTAATCCTCTGGGTTAATAATCCCAACAAAATCTACATATTTTTTTATCTAGTCTCTCTATATACATATTTGTTCTTGTATTATCTACATTATCTTTTAAAGTATTCTATCTATTCCTATATTTTCTTGTATTATCTCTGCATTCCTATATTTAACTTTATTCTCTGCACCCTTATCTTTTCTGTTATCTCTATTTTTTTCTGTTTCACTTGTGTCTCTATATTCCTATTTTTTTTCTGTTCCGTATGTCTTCCAGTACTTTTTTCCACCATTCTCTGTGTATTCTTATAATTTTCCTATGCATTCATATCTCTTACTGTTATCCCTGTCTCTCTGTCCCAAGTAAAAGCCTTATCATTGCCTACATTTTATATATATATGAGAAAATAAAAGGTTGTAGAATCTCATGCCATGTAGCAAAATAGTGGTAAGACTACAGTAAACACATACAAATGGCAGCTCTACACTTAGGGAGGAATATTATACTGATATTAATAAAATGTGGCAATGAGTGATGTTGTTTGTTTTCCCTTGTTCTGCCTCGTGTTTCTGTGTAAAGCACCAGAGAAATGTATGGATTTATTGTTTATTGCTATTCATGGGGAAAGGCTAAACCCATAGGGAGGGTCATGCAGTGACTGGAAGACAGTAAGTTTATTCAGGTATACACAAATGCAGTTACATAGATTATCACACATAGGATATGTGTAGAAAACCTAGGATAACCCCCAAAAAAGTCACAGTCACTTATTTTCATTGGGGTCCTTTATATTTCCATTGGGGAGGTAATTAGGTTTGATCAGAAGAATGAGACACTTGTTCAACACTTGGTAATCTTTATTGTGAAAACGGTTCGTCAGCCAATGGCTTCCTTAGTACCCTACCTCTCTCAAGGGCAGGCACCTTACATGCTCTACACACCCACCACCTCAAGCTGACCATATCATGAGGAGCCAGTCTATCAGCATCCTGTCGGCCAACATTAGAGGTTTCATTACTAATGTTGGAGAGCTCACACATAGTTTTTTGAATACTCGACGTCCCGACATGATAGCTGTTGTTGAAACATTTTTGGATGACAGGACTCCAGAAAATTTTGCAAGAATTGCTGGCTACACCTCATGGATGAGAAGAGACAGGCAAGGGCAAGGAGGAGGTGCTGCTGTGTGCTTCTCTAAAAGTGTTCATGCCCAGCACATTGATGTTGCCACCCCTACACATCTTGAAATGATGTTCTTCAAGCTATGCATAAACACTAGTACCTCTGTACTAGCATGTGCAATGTACAGACCTCAGTGGCAGCATGCAGACCCCATCAACTTCCTAATGGAAAATATTGACTCCCTTCTGCTACAACACAATTGTCAACATATCATAATTGTTGGTGACCTCAACCAACACCTTATACAGAGGGACTTTGATGACCTTCTTGGAGTATTTGACATAAGAAACTTTGTTGATTTCCCTACTCACATCTCTGGCTCCTCCCTTGACCCAGAAGTGAGTGATCTGGCAGAAGGCATAGTCACTTGTCAACCCCTCGGCTACGTTGGATCGTCTGACCACAAGGCTGTTTTTACGACACTTAAGATCCCAACAGAACGAGGTGAGTCCACACGCACAACCTGGTTATGGGAAAGAGGTAATTGGCCAGCCCTTTGCTCTGAGCTCGCCACCACCGATTGGAATGCCTTTCTCCAAGGGGATGTTGACAACCAAGTGAAAGCCTTCACTGGACACATCCTTAATCTACAACAAGAACACATTCCTCACCGGCAATATGTGACAAAGCCTACAGATCAGCCTTGGTTTGGCCTTCGTTGTAGAGAGGCTGCTACTGCTAAGTACAAAGCATGGCGAAGGTATAAGAGACACCCTACCACCTATAACAGGAACTTGCACAAGCAAGCCTGTAGGCATATGGGTGACGTTCAAAAGTGGGCCATTGCTAAATGGGAGGTGGACACTAAAAGAAAGCTAGCATCAGGTAGGGTAGGCTCCAAAACCAGGTGGTCCCTGGTCAAGGACAGACAAGGTTATCTGCCTGATGAACTCATTCCACCTCTAAATCGACAGGATGGGACCACCTCTACTAGTAGTCAAGAGAAGGCGGACCTCTTTGCTGAACACTTTGCTACCAAAATGCAAGTTCCTGATCCAGCAAGGGACCCTCCTTGGCTAGCTGCAAGAACTGTGTCAAAACTGTCAGTGGTGACAGTAAGGCAGGAGGAGGTGCATTTCCTTCTTAAATCGCTTGACCAAGAAAAGGCTGCGGGCCCAGACAAGTTGAGCCCAAGATTGCTGAGATGTGCAGACCAGCTAGCAGCACCTCTAACTCGCATCTTTCAGCACTGCCTAGTACAGTGTAAATGACCCTCTCTATGGAAAGAGGCAAATGTAGTCCCTGTTCACAAAAAGAAGAGCAGAGCAGAAATCAGCAACTACAGACTAGTATCACTCCTGTCAATCACTGGTAAGATCCTTGAGACAATAATCTCAAGACAAATGACAGAGTTTTTTGACTACCACTCACTACTTTGTGATCGTCAATATGGCTTCATTAAAGGTTACTCTGCTGCTGATCTGTTGTTAAACCTCTCCACTAAGTGGCACCAGTCACTGGATGAATCCAAAGTCAGCTGTGTGGTAGCACTGGACATTGCTGGCGCGTTCGACCGGGTGTGGCACCAGGGCCTCTTAGCAAAACTTCAAGAACTGGGAACTGCAGGCTCTACGTTATGTCTCCTCAGTGATTACCTTCATGGTAGATCTCTAAGTGTAGTTCTCAATGGAACGGAATCAGCAAGACATCCTATTGGGGCAAGTGTTCCACAAGGAAGTGTACTGGGACCATTATTATGGAATGTCTACTTCAACGACCTTCTTCATCTCATCCCAGAATCACATGCATATGCAGACGACTGTACACTGACATTCATTTATCCAAGAGAAGAAATGCCAGCTGATCTAAGCTACATCAATCACCAGCTGAGAGCTATATCAGCTTGGGGAAATGGATGGCAAGTAACATTTGCACCTGAGAAAACGCAAATGATGATCGTCTCTAGGCACCATGATGGTAATGCTGGTGCAGTAGTAAGGATGAATGGGAGGGTGTTGGCACCTGGAGAAGAAGTTGATATCCTTGGGGTGAAATTTGACTCCAAACTAACCATGAAGAACCATGTTGTAATTCTTGCAAACAAGACAGCCAGGACGCTTACAGCACTTCGCCGTATCTCGCATCTGCTTGACAGTAGGGGTTGCAAGATTCTGTACGAGGCACAAGTACGCTCACACCTTGAGTATGCTCCACTTTCTTGGTTTGCCTGCCCCCCTCTCATCTGCGATTGCTTGACAGAGTAGAGAACAGAGCAAGACGTCTCATCTCTCGCCTGGGCCCATCCTGGATAGATCTGTCATTTCAGCAGAGCGTTCAATATAGGAGGGATGTGGGTGGCCTTACTGTTATGTACAAGGCCAATATTGTCAAAGTACCACACGTGGATCCACTTCGAGGACAGCGTGAAACAAGCTTTTATGCCACAAGACGGGCAGAAAGCAGCAACTTCACTCTGGCTGTACCCTTCTCCAGAACATCACTCCATCTGAGATCATATATACCCAGGATGACTCGAGTATGGAACACATTCGTACAGCATTATGATGTCAACGAGATAAAGTCAGTTGATCACATGAAAATGCTGGCCCACAGATGGCTCCAACTTCATCCTGCTCCCTACTTGTATGTCTCATAACAATAAAAATGCTTTCAAATGAGCTGATGTAGGTAACAGCTCTTAGCTTGCCAATAAAGTTAGGAATCCTTAACCTGTAAATAGCTTGTCAATAAAGCTAGGGATCCTTAACCTTGTCAAACCCTGTGAAAAAAAAAGTGTTCGAGGTAATTAGTCCCTCAGCCTGGAGATGATGCGTTCAGGTCAGGTTGAGGGACATCTCTATATCGGAATGAGGAAACCACTGACTGGCGAAACGTTTCCACGATAAAGATTCCCAAATGTTGCACAACTTGTCGATTTTGTAAACCATTTATATAATAATAATGATTAGAGGAAGTAGTTAAGCTCCAATGTCTTCGATCGAGAACCCTTCGGCAGCAGCATCAACTCATTTGGAGTAAAAATACTAATTGATCGCTATAGGAGCTTATTAACCACAGACACAACGTGACCCGTAGCTCAATGGTTTGGCTCGATTTCCTTTCTGGGAAAGTCGAAACTAATAAAAGACCGAAGGGTAGCTACATTACTTGCCTGTCTTGGGTTCTTCTGGGTTAACAGAAGAACCTTATTTTAGGGCTGATAATCCGAAGACAATGCTTTCTAGACTAGAAATTGAGGCCAGCATAAATTATTAAGTTTTCATCCTTTTAAATTATTTAGGCATTACATACAAAGCAAAATTTGTTAACAGTCTTGAGAGCACACTGATGGCACTGCATACATAACAATTGATTTACAATAGTCTTTGAGAGCCAGCACATAGTCTGACGTATAGTATGCTAGGATGGAGATTTTGTTCGATTAACCCTGAAGGTTAATAACCCAATAAAACCAATGTCTGGGGGTCAGGTTAGGTTAGTTAGGAAACGAGTGTTTTAGTTAATCCTCCTCCATGGTGCAGATTTTATTTGGCTTAATAACACATAGTAATCTATGATCACCTAATAAGTCACTGATATCAGACTTTCAACGGATTAAGGCTGGACAAATTTAGATTTAATAAGAATTTCAGGAAGTACTGGCTTGGCAACAGAGCAGTGTTATTGGGGCCCGGTGACCTGGTGGCTAAAGCTCCCGCTTCACACACGGAGGGCCCGGGTTCGATTCCCGGCGGGGTGGAAACATTTCGACACGTTTCCTTACACCTGTTGTCCTGTTCACCTAGCAGCAAATAGGTACCTGGGTGTTAGTCGACTGGTGTGGGTCGCATCCTGGGGGACAAGATTAAGGACCACAATGGAAATAAGTTAGACAGTCCTCGATGACGCACTGACTTTCTTGGGTTATCCTGGGTGGCTAACCCTCCGGGGTTAAAAATCCGAACGAAATCTTATCTTCAAATATAAGGTGGATTGGTAAACGTAGGCTGGGACTACTTAGTAGGTCACACGATGTGATTTTCAGTGGTCACTCATATGTACTAGCTGGACACCTTGAATGTGACAGTCATACCTATAGCTGCTGTGACCTCAATGAAGGATGAAACAGGTCAAATGTAGCCTCTTGTAGTCGATAGGCTTTAATCCCCATTAACCAACCACCCAAAGGAGTCTAGTCCACTTTTTGTGGATTCTGTTAGAATGATGAAATGATAAAATTGATAAGATAGCAAAAGCGTCTGTCCTCAAGGAGATAATATTATTGTTCGAATAAGTAAGCTTATTCAGGTTAACACAAATACAGTTACATAGACTATCATACATAGTAGCATATGTGTAAAGAACCCAGGATAACCCAAAAAAAGTCAGTGACTTATTTCCATTGGGGTCCTTTGAGACAAGACTGCAATCCACGTGAAGTAAGACTGTAATCCACGTGAAGCAAGACTAATCCACGTGAAGCAAGACTGTAATCCACGTGAAGCAAGACTAATCCACGTGAAGCAAGACTAATCCACGTGAAGCAAGACTAATCCACGTGAAGCAAGACTGTAATCCACGTGAAGCAAGATTGTAATCCACGTGAAGCAAGACTGTAATCCACGTGAAGCAAGACTATAATCCACGTGAAGCAAGACTAATCCACGTGAAGCAAGACTGTAATCCACGTGAAGCAAGACTGTAATCCACGTGAAGCAAGACTGTAATCCACGTGGGGCAAAACTGTAATCCACGTGAGGCAAAACTGTATAATCCACTTGAGATAAGACTGTAATCCAAGTATTGCAGCCTGGGCAATGATAGTGAGCGTAAACAAAGACCGATGGCGGAGTAAAGTTAAAAATAAAAAAAAAAGGCACAATACCGTGACTTGAACGATACACAAATAACCCGCACATAAAAGAGAGAAGCTTACGACGACGTTTCTCTCTTTTATGTGCGGGTTATTTGTGTAAGGTTAAAAATAATAATAATGTTACATTAGGTTATTTTAGGTACAGGTACACAAGTTCAATTATCATACATATTGTAAATTACCTAGGATAACCCCCCCAAAAAAGTCAAGACAGATTTCGTTAGGGTCACATTTCTAACCATCTGTATAACATAAAACTATCTCTAGTGTAAATCACAAGCAATATTGTAAAAATTTTAACTATATATTTTATAACTAGCAAGAACGAACACGGCAGCAGGCCTAGTAAGTTTATTTAGGCACAGTTAAGTACTTATTAAGTACACTTAAGTACAATTATCAGTGTAAATTACCTAGGATAACCAAAAAAATTCAAAGTGACTTATTTCCATGGGCCTACTGGCCCACGCTAGGCAGGTCTACCTCACATCCAATCATCATCGGGAAACATTCATTTACCTTAAAAACAAACGTTAAACGCGACGGGCTGGAGTTTTGAGACTCTATGACCGCGGGTTCAATCCCGGCCGGGGGTATGGGTTAAACCCGCATGGCTAAGAACGTGAGCGTGTATTGAAGTGAAGCAGAGATTCACCCTGACTCCACCACCATGGCGGCTACAAGGAGGACTGTACATGTCTTCTCTATTATCCCTCGCCTCTCCCAGCTGGTGCAAGATGGTCTACCTGACGTGCAGGTGGTACAGGTGGACGTGGCAGGTGAGCCATCTGCTAGGTGGTACAAGTTGACATGACAGAAGAGTCAGTGTTAGGTGGTACAGGTTGACATGACAAGGTGATAACGGGTTATTCTTTGTTAATATATTAATAAATGACTAAAACAACTGTAAAAATCTAAGTTTGTGTATTGAATACCTTTGTCTATCGTCCCCGAGGAGCCTCACCCATCAATATCAACGTCAAAATTGTATTTCTAAGAATTGCCGGGAACATAAAAATTAGATTATGTAGATTTAACCAAGAAGATTTTTGTTTGATTATTAACCATCACGCGCTGTATAATCCTACGGGTTTAGCGCTCCCCCATGATTATAATTATAATAAGATTATTAACCAAAGATAACTCAGTAAATCAACTAATCGGACTGACATTTTTCCAGTGCGACTTATTTTCATTATGTCCTTTCTAATTTACATGGGCGTATATATACACGCTGTCAATTATACGTTAACTAACAAAATAATAAAAATTGTACAATTTATTTTAAGTAAGTAAGTTTATTCAGGTATACACAAATGCAGTTACATAGAATTATCATACATAGCAGCATATGTGTAGAGAATTGTTCACCTACCAGTAAAATAGTTACCTGGGTGTTAGGCGACTGGTGTGGGTCGCATCCTGGGGACCAAACCTGATTTGCCAGAAATGCTCTGCATAACCAGAGACCATATAGTATGTCAGCTATGGTCTGTATACGTTGTATATGTACTCGTAGAAATAAAGACTATTATTTGTTATTATCATTGGATTCCCCTTTTTTAATTTACGACTCCTGTTAACACAAAATATACCACAGACGTCTACTCAAGTTCTTCAAGAATATCTTCTTAAAATTCTTTAGTATTTTGGGGTAATTTTATTTTATTTGTGGTTAACGAGATATGGAGGTCACACTAATTACCAGAAATTACTACATTAAACCATAAAAAAAAAACTTAACTAAGAAATAAGAGTTTGCAAAGAAGTTGATTATTTAATTAAAAAAAAAACGTGAAACTCAGTCTAAAACATTATATTACTGAGTACACGTAATTACAACCAGGTTTTAATTTAAATGAGAACCTGCAGGGTAAGTAAGTTTATTTAAACACAGGTACACACAAGTATAACTGTCATACATTGTGTAAATCACCTAGGATAACCCGCAAGAAAGTCAGACCGAGTGACTTCTGCAGGGATCCTTGACTTATTTCCATTGAGGTGATGTCACACCGAGCGGCCACAAGTGCAGAGTGTGCACATTTGTCAGCTTATGAGTTTCCAAACCCGAATGCAGTAATAATCTTAATTTCTAGAAGTATGTACATGATATATCTATTAGAGACTTAGCTGACATCATTGATATACCATATAGAAAGCCTTCTGGTTATGCAGACCACTTCGAGCAACTTAGGTTAATTACCTTCACAATTTAGGTTAATTTTGTTCCCCCAGGATGCAACTTACAATAGTTATGTAACACCCAGGTACCTACTTACTGCTAGGTGAATAGGGGTCGCAGGTGTGAGGAAACGTACCCAACATTTCACCAGTGATGGGTTCGATCCCAAAACACACACTAACATAACCTTAGACACTTACACCGTAACTTACACAGTAACCTTACACATGTACACCATAATCATACACATACCACAACCTTACACATATACAGTAACCATACATATATACCATAACCTTAAACATAAATTGTAACCTTACACATGTAACCCTACACACATACATCATAAACTTATACACAGACACTAATGTAACACCCCATACTCTGCATAAGAACACAAGAATAGTAGTAAGCCTACTGGTCCATGCTAGGCAGGTCCAATTCACACCCAACTATACCCACTCACGTACTCACCTAATTTTATATAATGACAGCTACCCAACGTTCTCACTTCAGTGATGCTACCTGGGGGTTTGTTTCGCTCATCTTCAACTTTGTTGACAAATCAGTATACCTGGAGGTGTTCTGGGGGTCAATGCCCCCAAGGCCTGGTCCATGACCAGACCTTACAGTGGATCAGGGCCTGATCAACCAGGCTGTTACTGCCGGCCACATGCAAACCGATGTACAAAGTACAGCCCGGCTGGTCAGGTACTGACTTTAGGTGTCTGTCCAGCTCCCTCTTGAAGACAGCCAGGGGTCTCTTGGTAATCCCCTTTATGTATGCTGGCAGGCAGTTGAACAGTCTTGGGCCCCTGACACTTATTGTGTTGTCTCTTATTGTGTTGTCTCTTAGTTTGGGGTGCCAGGTGTAAATGATAATGGGAGCCCTTTGATTGAACTTTGTATAGAAAGGGGTTTAGTTATAGGTAATACATATTTTAAGAAAAAGAGGATAAATAAGTATACACGATATGATGTAGGGCGAAATGACAGTAGTTTGTTGGATTATGTATTGGTAGATAAAAGACTGTTGAGTAGACTTCAGGATGTACATGTTTATAGAGGGGCCACAGATATATCAGATCACTTTCTAGTTGTAGCTACACTGAGAGTAAAAGGTAGATGGGATACAAGGAGAATAGAAGCATCAGGGAAGAGAGAGGTGAAGGTTTATAAACTAAAAGAGGAGGCAGTTAGGGTAAGATATAAACAGCTATTGGAGGATAGATGGGCTAATGAGAGCATAGGCAATGGGGTCGAAGAGGTATGGGGTAGGTTTAAAAATGTAGTGTTAGAGTGTTCAGCAGAAGTTTGTGGTTACAGGAAAGTGGGTGCAGGAGGGAAGAGGAGCGATTGGTGGAATGATGATGTAAAGAGAGTAGTAAGGGAGAAAAAGTTAGCATATGAGAAGTTTTTACAAAGTAGAAGTGATGCAAGGAGGGAAGAGTATATGGAGAAAAAGAGAGAGGTTAAGAGAGTGGTGAAGCAATGTAAAAAGAGAGCAAATGAGAGAGTGGGTGAGATGTTATCAACAAATTTTGTTGAAAATAAGAAAAAGTTTTGGAGTGAGATTAACAAGTTAAGAAAGCCTAGAGAACAAATGGATTTGTCAGTTAAAAATAGGAGAGGAGAGTTATTAAATGGAGAGTTAGAGGTATTGGGAAGATGGAGGGAATATTTTGAGGAATTGTTAAATGTTGATGAAGATAGGGAAGCTGTGATTTCGTGTATAGGGCAAGGAGGAACATCTTGTAGGAGTGAGGAAGAGCCAGTTGTGAGTGTGGGGGAAGTTCGTGAGGCAGTAGGTAAAATGAAAGGGAATAAGGCAGCCGGGATTGATGGGATAAAGATAGAAATGTTAAAAGCAGGTGAGGATATAGTTTTGGAGTGGTTGGTGCAATTATTTAATAAATGTATGGAAGAGGGTAAGGTACCTAGGGATTGGCAGAGAGCATGCATAGTTCCTTTGTATAAAGGCAAAGGGGATAAAAGAGAGTGCAAAAATTATAGGGGGATAAGTCTGTTGAGTGTACCTGGTAAAGTGTATGGTAGAGTTATAATTGAAAGAATTAAGAGTAAGACGGAGAATAGGATAGCAGATGAACAAGGAGGCTTTAGGAAAGGTAGGGGGTGTGTGGACCAGGTGTTTACAGTGAAACATATAAGTGAACAGTATTTAGATAAGGCTAAAGAGGTCTTTGTGGCATTTATGGATTTGGAAAAGGCGTATGACGGTGGATAGGGGGGCAATGTGGCAGATGTTGCAAGTGTATGGTGTAGGAGGTAGGTTACTGAAAGCAGTGAAGAGTTTTTACGAGGATAGTGAGGCTCAAGTTAGAGTATGTAGGAAAGAGGGAAATTTTTTCCCAGTAAAAGTAGGCCTTAGACAAGGATGTGTGATGTCACCGTGGTTGTTTAATATATTTATAGATGGGGTTGTAAGAGAAGTAAATGCGAGGGTCTTGGCAAGAGGCGTGGAGTTAGAAGATAAAGAATCACACACAAAGTGGGAGTTGTCACAGCTGCTCTTTGCTGATGACACTGTGCTCTTGGGAGATTCTGAAGAGAAGCTGCAGAGATTGGTGGATGAATTTGGTAGGGTGTGCAAAAGAAGAAAATTAAAGGTGAATACAGGAAAGAGTAAGGTTATGAGGATAACAAAAAGATTAGGTGATGAAAGATTGAATATCAGATTGGAGGGAGAGAGTATGGAGGAGGTGAACGTATTCAGATATTTGGGAGTGGACGTGTCAGCGGATGGGTCTATGAAAGATGAGGTGAATCATAGAATTGATGAGGGAAAAAGAGTGAGTGGTGCACTTAGGAGTCTGTGGAGACAAAGAACTTTGTCCTTGGAGGCAAAGAGGGGAATGTATGAGAGTATAGTTTTACCAACGCTCTTATATGGGTGTGAAGCGTGGGTGATGAATGTTGCAGCGAGGAGAAGGCTGGAGGCAGTGGAGATGTCATGTCTGAGGGCAATGTGTGGTGTGAATATAATGCAGAGAATTCGTAGTTTGGAAGTTAGGAGGAGGTGCGGGATTACCAAAACTGTTGTCCAGAGGGCTGAGGAAGGGTTGTTGAGGTGGTTCGGACATGTAGAGAGAATGGAGCGAAACAGAATGACTTCAAGAGTGTATCAGTCTGTAGTGGAAGGAAGGCGGGGTAGGGGTCGGCCTAGGAAGGGTTGGAGGGAGGGGGTAAAGGAGGTTTTGTGTGCGAGGGGCTTGGACTTCCAGCAGGCATGCGTGAGCGTGTTTGATAGGAGTGAATGGAGACAAATGGTTTTTAATACTTGACGTGCTGTTGGAGTGTGAGCAAAGTAACATTTATGAAGGGATTCAGGGAAACCGGCAGGCCGGACTTGAGTCCTGGAGATGGGAAGTACAGTGCCTGCACTCTGAAGGAGGGGTGTTAATGTTGCAGTTTAAAAACTGTAGTGTAAAGCACCCTTCTGGCAAGACAGTGATGGAGTGAATGATGGTGAAAGTTTTTCTTTTTCGGGCCACCCTGCCTTGGTGGGAATCGGCCAGTGTGATAATAAAAAATAATAAAATAAAACCTGCTTCTCAATGGGGGGCATGTTGCACTGCCTGCAAAGTCTTTTACTTTTGTAGGGGGATATTTCTGTGAGCAGATTTGTGACTAGTCCCTCTAGAATTTTATTGCTGTGAATTTTGTCTTGGTTAGATATTTTCATTATGTTATAACCCTCTTTATTTTTTCCAACTAGGGTCCCAGGACCCTAGTTGGTTGCATATTCAGTTGGTTGCTTATTCAGTTGGCTACACCCCGGGGGTCACCACCCTCGCAGCAGAGTCCATGACCAAAATTTTACCATATCAAGGTTTTTAGTTACCTTTTTGTTAAGTCATGTTTCAGCCAAATCACTCAATATGAAGTGTTGTAAGAAGGTTTATGGAATAATATCTGGAAACCTTAAACTTCCTACATAACTATGTTTAGTACATTGCTGCCATTTTACTATTTCTAAATTTGAAAGCTTATTGTGTATTACTAATTAATATTTATAGTAAATACTTGACTTCAACAGGAAGTATTGCTGGGAAGTATTCTAAAGAAGTTACAGAGGAGGAAGTTAATGCTTTGCAAGAGGCAGAATTGCTCTTGGTGGATAATAATCTTCTTGTTCAGGTATGATAAACAGAAGAGTATAAAGTAAAGTGAGTCTTCATTATGTGCTAGACGTTCATTCTTGAAAGCTGTGATGTATATCGTATAGTGAACTATAATTTCTGATATGTTTGATGATATAAATAGCAATTACTTTCTTTTAAAATGCATGACAATCTAGAGTTGCCAAAAGTCTCTCACAGTGTTGCATAGCTGCCATTGTATACCATACATATTTTTAATTTTTGACATTAAGAAAAGGAACATGGATTTTTGTTATTCTTTACCCTGATCCACCACAAGGCCTGGTCTCAGACTGAGCCATGGGGGGGGGGTGACCCCCAAAACCCTTTCCAGGTAAACTCCAGGTACTCTCCAGAAATTTAACAAATTATCAATGAAAAGTGTCTCACCCACCATCTTTACTTACTGTCATTGCATTCTTGTTTTTGCTTGCAAGTGAGAAAATAAGGGGGAGTGGGTAAGGACAAGAGATTCCTCTATCCTCAGTTACCCAATTTAAGTCCACTCATTAATGAATAAGAATTCTGCACTATTTGAATGTTATGAACTTTAGTTCATGTATTATTATTATTATTATTATAATCAAGGGGGAAGCGCTAAACCCGGAGGATTATACAGCGCCTGGGGGGGGGGATGTGGAAGGCATTCAGGCTTAATTCGGGGAACTGGAGCACAGATCCAATTCCCTAAATCAAGAGCCCCTCACCAACATCAAGGAACCTTCCTTGAGGGGACTTAGTTCATGTAAAAAATGGCATAATTATATTTTTACCTAGATCAGTAAAATGCTAGTGTTAGACCAAAATTTTTATATGGTTAAAAGCTAGTTATAGATCTTGAAGGAAATTATTAAAGTTATCCAATCTGACAATTTTTGTTTGTTCTGGGCCAACAGTGTCTTTAAGAACATGTTTGTACATACATCATGTCTTTTCCAGGGAGGTGCCTCAATGCCACCTGGCCACCTGGTGCTAGTGAAGGGCTCCAAGGTATTGGAGGTACCCTCCTTTTTCTAGCTTCAGACCTGACTCTCCCATTGTCTAGGCCCTAAACAATGGGTTTAGAGCTTCCCAATGAAGATACTTATAATAATAATAATAATAATAATAATAATAATAATAATAATAATTGCATTTAATCTTATACGTTGAGCAAGTCCCCTGGCATGTTAATAAAATTTAATGGACAATTCAGTGTAAGGCCAGACAAATGTGATAATTAATAGATATTATAAAGCTACATTGTTCTCAAATTTACTTCTGTTGAAAAGAGCTTATGACAACGTTTTGGTCTGTAGTAGTAGTAGTAGTAGTAGTAGTAGTAGTAGTAGTAGTAGTAGTAGTACTACTACTACTACTTTTTCTTCTTCTTCTTCTTCTTCTTCTTTTTCTTCTTTTTCTTCTTCTTTTTCTTTTTCTTCTTTTTTTCTTCTTCTTTTTCTTTTTCTTCTTTTTCTTCTTCTTTTTCTTCTTCTTTTTCTTCTTTTTCTTCTTCTTTTTCTTCTTCTTTTTCTTCTTCTTCTTCTTCTACTCCATCTACTACTACTTTCACTGTCTTACCACTATCAGTACTACTTCTCCCACCTCTTGTGTTCTGTCCCTGCCAGCTGACCTATGTATACTGGTTCTATCTCTCTCTTTTCTATTAGTGTGACTTTGTAAATGGTCCAAGTTGTACTGAAACATCATCATAGGCTCCTCTCTTCTTTTTCTTCTTCTTCTTTTTCTTCTTCTTTTTCTTCTTCTTTTTCTTCTTCTTTTTCTTTTTCTTCTTCTTTTTCTTCTTCTTTTTCTTCTTCTTTTTCTTCTTCTTTTTCTTCTTCTTTTTCTTCTTTTTCTTCTTCTTTTTCTTCTTTTTCTTCTTCTTCTACTCCATCTACTACTACTTTCACTAACTGCCTTACCACTATCAGTACTACTTCTCCCACCTCTCGTGTTCTGTCCCTGCCAGCTGGCCTATATATACTGGTTCTATCTATCTCTTTTCTATTAGTGTGACTTTGTAAATGGTCCAAGTTGTACTGAAACATCGTCATAGGCTCCTCTCTTCTATGTGCAGGTTATTTGTGTATTGTTCCAGTCATGGTATTGTGACTTTTTGTTCTTTACCTCTGTTGTATTAGCGCAACTAATTTTACTACTGTACATCAGATGACAGATCGATTACCAAGACTACGGTGGGCCCAGGGAACATGGGCGGGGGTTGAAGGACTTGTCAGTAACTTCAAGGACAAGGTAAGGTAGGAAAACACGTTGATTGATATATATTTTCATTCAGTACAATACATGGTTTTTACAAAATTGGATGACATTCATTAGTACACATGGAAAACCTCAAGTTATGCAGAGCATTTTGGGCAAAGTAAAGCCTAATCTAAGACTAATACAGACATACCTCGCTAATATTGTGCTTACTTTATCACACTTCGCTAATAGGGAACTTTTCAGTTATGTATAATCATACAGTAGGACCCCTGTATCCGTGGGGGATACATTCCAAGGACCTGCTTTGGGTACTGAAACTTATTATAAAGTTTAATTGATAGATTATGCACAATAAGTGGAGAACTATCTCTTTTTCACTGGTGGGAAGCACTTCACAGCTTCTCTTTGGCTTTGAAGAACTGCCAGCTTCTCTACTTTTGTGCTTTGGGGCCATTATTATGCAAAAATAAAGAGCTATTTTTAGCCCACAGTAAACCGTGGATAACTGAAACTACGGATATCGAATCAGTGGATACGAGGGTTCTACTGCATTTATTATTTTGGGCAATTCAGCTGACTTCGAGACGAATCAAATGAGTTAAAGGCTCAGATGATGAATCTCCAGTATCCCCTTCAGCCTTCCTTCAGTACTTCTAAAATGTTTGTTTATTTAATAATTGGTAGGGTAAACATGTTTTTAGGCCTTTATATGCACTGGCAAGTGAAAAGAAGGCTGTAATTTGCTTTATGGCAGTGGTCTGGGACCTAACCTACTGTATTAGTGAGTTATGGTGGTATAACAGTGTACATACAAAGGCATTGAAGATGAACACACAATAAAAGTGGTTGAGAGTGACTTAATATAATGGGATTATTAAAACAAGTTTTTTGGTTCTGGTTTATATAGTGTACCTATACAACAGATATATGAGCCAGAACAAAAAAAAAAAAAATACTTCAAGAATAATTGCTATTCCAGATGTATTCTCACAGAAATTTCCCTCAGGTGTGGTTATTGCCTCTTTGCATACATACCCAAATTGCAATTTTTTTTATTTTATAACTTACATATTTTCCTAAGTAATTTAATCAGTTTATAATTTGGTCTTTATAATTGTTTTTTAATATTATCAGTTGGAGTTTCTTTTGAATAATAATAATAATAATAATAATAATAATAATAATAATAATAATAATAATAATAATAATAATACAGTAATAATAATAATAATAATAATAATAATACAGTAATAATAATATTGTAGTAATAATAATGTTATAATAATAATAATAATAATAATAATAATAATAATAATCTGAACTTTGTCTATACTAGAAGAATATATATACAGGGGACCCCCGCTTAACGATCACCTCCCAATGCGACCAATTATGTATTTATGTAAGTGCATTTGTACGTGTATGTTTGGGGGTCTGAAATGGACTAATCTACTTCACAATATTCCTTATGGGAACAAATTCAGTCAGTACTGGCACCTGAACATACTTCTGGAATGAAAAAATATCATTAACCGGGGGTCCACTGTATAGTGAAAGTTAAATCTTGTTAATTATCACTCCGTACTTTCCTTAAGAAAAATGCATGCTGTCTGTCATTTGTAAATGGTTAATATCAGATATCTTGAATACCATGTCATCATTATTATTAATTCTCTAATTTGAAAGATACAATAAATTTTATTTTTGCAGCCAAAGCCCACATTCCCAGTCACCCGCATGGCCAGTGACACCTTCAGTCAACTCATGGCAGAATACACTGTTGGTTGGATCATTAGCCATGAACGAGGTTGGCTGGACTGTAGGCAGTACCAGGTAAGAGATACTAACCAACGGTGTATCATAAACTAATGGCAATTTTAACATGTCATGTTATCCGAGATGGACATTTTAAATTTGCATTCTGATCTGATGCGCTTGCAATATTCCTCCCATATTTGATTTCAAATTTAGTTTGATGATTGTTTGACACTTATATTTACTATATTCAAAACACTGTCATTAAGCCAAGCTTACTTTTTATATGATTACAGTATACAGTCATACCCCCACTTTACGTCATTTCAGCCTACATCAAATTTGCCCTGATACCACTTTTCTAGAGTAAGTTTCACTTCAGCAAATGTCATTATGTCTGACTTTACATTACTCGGCAATGTCACCTACATCATAATTTTTTTAATTGTGTTCATCATTCTTTAAAAAAATATGATTAAAATGTGTTTTAAGTATTCTTTAAGGTTTAGCAATAGTTATATTCTTGCACGAGTTATTTACACTAGTTTTAGGGTGTTTGTGGCCATTTTAAGGTATTTTTAACCTGTAAACGGTCCAAGCAGATCTATGTTCACATGTGTAGTGCTACAAAAGTAGATCTACTTTTTTTTACATATTTTCAAATATAACAAAAAAAAAAGTAGATCAAAGTTTTTTTACACATTTTCAAATGTAAAAAAACAAAAAGAAGATCTACTTTTTTTTACATACTTTCAAATGTTAAAAAAACGTACGTATATATACGTTTGGACCGTTTACGGGTTAAAGCATTATGTCCAGTTTACATCAAAAACCGGGTTACGTCACGGCTCTTGGAACCAATTAATGATGTAGGATGGGGTATGACTGTTTTAATTTGTTTATATTAATATAAAATCGAATAAAAAGCTATATCTTCATTTCTAAGAAGAATACGTACAATAGAAGTTACAATGATTGATTTTGTTTCATTGGGCTACTGTTATAATACAATCACATGTATATAGGTAGGCCCTGCTTTACAGCATTTTACTTTACAGTGTTTTGCCAGTTATACCCATTCTTCATTTATTCAGACTTTCTACAGTAAATATATTCACCAGTCACTAAGCTAACAAATTTTATTCCTTTGCAAAAGTTACAATGTGTGATTTACATTTTATAAAGTGATTTTAAGTAGAAAGAAAGATGGTAACATGTGGCTTTCTTTCTACTTACTTAGTGAGGTAGCACAAAACAAATAACAGTACTGTATTAGGATGAAAATATTCAAAGGTAAGTAATGTGTGTACTGTATATGCATTTTCTTTAGGTCTAGCTATATTGCTCACTTAATGTATGATAGTGTAAACACGTTATCAGGCTATTATATGCATTTGAAAGTGAAAAAAGGCTGTGATTCACTTTACAGTGATTTTTGCTGTACAGCAGTAGCCCGGAACCTAACCCGCTTGATAAACGAAACATTTTGGGGAGACTAATCCTAAAGCTTGCATGTTATTTAATTCTAGTACTAACATGTAGTTTTGGCGAATGTTTTAGTACAGCATAAATAGTTCATTGCAGTACTGACTGGCCTATACAGTGTAGAACATTTTCTGGTAAGTTACGCTAATAATAATGTGCATATTAATTTTACAGCTGAAAGGTGAATGGGGGCACAAGGGCAACATAGCATATTATCGCAGCCTGCGGGAGTTAACGGTGGGTGTCCTTGGCATGGGGATCATTGGTAAAGAGGGTAAGTATTGACCCATTGTATTAGGATTTATTTCCTTGAAATAATGAAGCCCATACAATTAATTTTTGATAAGTTACACTGAGATAATGAAATAGAAAAGAAACTGATAAACACGAATACTGTACGTATATACGTATATGAATGTATACACTGTATTGCATGTTTATTGGGTTGCAAACAAAAATGAAAGTTTGAAATTTTGTTGTCTGTGTTATGTTTCACTCAAAGAAAAAACATTTCATGCCAAGTTTAAAAAAATTGGGGATTCATTTATAGATATCAATTGATGCAGGTGAGGGGCTCTTGATGCAAGGAATTGAACCCATCTTTTTCCTTGGCTTGCAACTAATTGCCTCCCATTTTTCCAGGCACTGTATGGCCCTTATGGGTTTAACACTTTCCCTATAACAACAACACAGTAACATTTATGAAGGGATTCAGGGAAACCAGCAAGCTGGACTTGAGTCCTGGAGGTGGGAAGTACAGTACCTCTGCTCTGAAGGAGGGGTGTTATGTTGCAGTTTTTTAACTAGTGTAGGTACACCTCTGGCAAGACAGTGATGGAGTGAATGATGGTGAAAGTTTATCTTTTTCTTTTGGGTCACCCTTCCTGGGTGGGAAATGGCTGATGTGTCAATAAAGAGTAAATTAAAAATAATAATAATACTACTACTAATAATATAGGTAACAAAGATGGCCACTATGCCATCAAAATGATAAAATGCCTTATTTCCACATTTTTTCTTTTTCAGTGGCCAGGTCTTTAAAAGGCTTCAGTGCAACAGTTCATGCTTACACCCGCACTGCACCCTCTGTGGAAAACAAGTCAAATAATGTAGATAAATACTGGTAAGTATTTAAACTGTTTCAATCAGTTGATTACTGTATTTGGATCTCATAGTAAAATAAAAAACTGGAAAAATATATTTTCAACACAGTGAATACTTAAAAATATATGGAATATTAAAATATTGTTTATGGTGATGGCATTACTATAGTCAAAAATATAATGCAGAGAGTAAGATGCCTCAACACATTCCTTACCCCCCCTTTCCCCACTATTCTATGGTTCACTTTATCTTTCGTAAACCTATCTGCCAACATATCTACCCCCATGTATGTGAGTATAATATTAACTTCCTCCATGCTTCCTCCCTATAATCTGTTATCCAGGTAGGCCAGGGGTGGGCAAACTTTTCAGTGCAGGGGCCATATTCAGACTGACTCTTGTACTTGTCTGATAATGCTTGCGTAACAGCTCATGTTTTCAGCAGAGGAAAATGAACAAAGTTTTGCTCATTCAGCTGCATATACTTGAGTATATGACTTGATCTTGGCAGGCTGCATGTAAACCTTTGGCGGACCATATGAAAACCTTTGGCGGGCCGCATGCGGCCTGGGAGCCATAGTTTGCCCACCCCTGAGGCAGACAATGGCAAAAAACCAACAAGCGGGGATAAGGACACTGGTAGCAGCAGCTCCTTTTTACTAAACAGCATTTTGTCCAAGGTTGGGCTCTATCAATTACTTGATAAAGCCCAGCCTTGGATGAAACATATTAAAAGAATCCTCTGCTACCAGTGTTTTTATCTCTAATCCAATTTCCAATCTAAAATTGCATAGCCTTTTTTTTTGGTTGCTCTCATCACTTTTTTCCCTATGGTCTCTTAATTTTCTTCATTTACATACCCTCCCAAATTCATCTGCAAACCTGTGGATTTTTTCAGAATTTCCTAAAAGAACTATGTCATTCATAAAAGAGTAACTGTGACAATTTCCACTTTGTACTTTGTAACATCTCTTATCTTCTAATCCCAAACCTCTCCCAAATACCCTAGTATTCATTTCTTTAACATCCCCATATATAAATAGGCTAAACAATCATAGTGATATCACACATCTATGTCTAAGGCCTACCTTTACTGCAAAATAGTCCCTTTTCCCTATCCAACATACCCTAACCTGAGGCTCACCATCTGCATAAAGACTTGTATCTTATTCCATTATTTTATTAAATAGTCTGCAAAGAACTTTCTAGTATCCTTTTTGATGTTTTTCTTAGTATTTAGCTATGCACTCTTGTCCTCTTAGTTGATGGCATTAGGAAATCTTCCATCTCAGTTATTTCATATCCTCTTATAATCTTATACAATTGAAATATATGCTTGTTAGTGTAATTAAATTCTGATTTTGGGGCAGAGGTTAGTTTTAGCTTTAAAATACAGGGTGGTGTGCATGTTTGTGTAATTAAATTCTGATTTTGGGGCAGAGGTTAGTTTTAGCTTTCAAATACAGGGTGGTATGCATGTTTGTGTTTGTACCTTTATATTGGAAAGAACATTTAATGACCTACTCTCTCCATTGCTTTGCAAATTTTGAAACTTGCTTTCTTTCAGGATGTGAGGTATTGGGTTTCAGAGTGCATTGAAGAGAAATAATTAGCATTTGGATGTTAGAAAAGGATGACTGATGTTGTAAGGGAGATCTACTTGAGTAAATTGGAGGGTGTTAAGAGTAATGTGTATATAATCAAATGAGAGTGAAATGGAAACCTGATAATTTTTTTTTGCACTCTGACAGTATTCTTTCTATCTCATGAACATGTAAGATGGCAGGTAAATCTTACAGACTTTTAGTTACATTCAGTATACACATATCTTTACTGTCTTAAGTGCTTTTTAACAGTTCTTAATCCTGTAATATTTCCTTTCCAATCTAGGAGGCCTGGTCTGAGACCAGGCCATGGGAAGGTAACCCCCAAAACCACTGACAGGTAGGTAACAGATAATCTACTTCATGGAATAGGAAAATGAAGGATCTCTTATGAGATAGGTCTCACAACAGTATAAAACATTTTGAACTGGCCAGAATATTATATGTTAAGTAGTGCTGCAAGCATACTTTTTCAGTCATGGCCATCATCTTTGGAGTTAATGGTGGAAACAAGACATGAACATAGACAACCTATCACAGGAGGGTCAGGGGCAACATGATAATGACATACAAAATACTACATGGAATAGACAAGGTGGACAGAGACAGGATGTTCCAGAGATGGGACACAGAAACAAGGGGTCACAATTGGAAGCTGAGGACTCAGATGAGTCATAGGGATGTTAGGAATTATTTCTTCAGCCACAGAGTTGTTAGGAAGTGGAATAGTCTGGCAAGCAATATTGTGGAGGCAGGAACCATACATAGTTTTAAGATGAGGTATGACAAAGCTCATGGAGCAGGGAGAGGGAGGACCCAGTAGCAGTCAGTGAAGAGGCAGGGCCAGGAGCTGAGTCTCGACCCCTGTAGCCACATATAGTGATTGTTTAGTCATATAATCAGGGATAAAAAGTTGTAAACATTCCAAATAACAATTAAGGAGGGAATGAAATCAAAGTTCTTAGGGTGGTAGACATTTATTCAGGAACATAAGTAGGCCATGAATTATACGGGACCAAAAAGACACTAGTTCTTATAACATGTTACTAAGCACACTACTTCAGTACAGACATGACAATGCAATTTTCAAAGTTTTTCAAATAGTTTTTTTACTTCACATGTGATTTCTATATGTAAATATGTATTTGTTGCATTTCAGGCACACTGGAGAGTTGCACTCGTTTCTACAACAGTGTGATTACATTGTTAATATAATTCCATCGACTCCTGAGACCAGAGGAATGTTGGGAGGCAACACGTTAAAAAATGCCAAGTAAGTGCATTGTGCAGAGGTTTATCTGCTTAGTGTTGTTCCATAGACAACATTAAAGTTTAAGTTACCATAAACTTTTTTGTATACTCTGTCATCTAGTTTCTAATTCTGGATTTTTTATTTAGTATCTTTGGTATTATCACTACTTCCACCAAGTACCAGATCAACCAGGCTGTGATGAATATTGGTTCAGTGGCCCACCAATGGCAATAGTCTAGTTGAAAAAGCAGTCTACAGAAAAATCACGCCCAGGCTGGGCTGCTAGTAAAAAAACTCTTGTAACCAGTCATAGATGAATAAGACACGTGTGCAACATGTGTCTCATTCATGGGTCATAGATGTATCATAAGTAAGGAATCAAGTCCTAAACTATGTTGGCTATGAGTTATATAAAAGGAAAACTTTGATATTTGTGTCAGAACGTTTCTATTATGCATCTAATAACTAGCATAGTTTAGGACCTGATTATTTCATGTTAAATGAATAATAATTTATATTTATACAGTAGTTAAATACAGACAACCCTAAACTACATGACAATATAATGTTCTCTTTATTTGGCTTTTTCTCACAGGATTATTATTAGTGATTTGCCACATGACTAAGTAGTAGGTTGGTAGATGGTAACTACCCAGAGAAGTACTACCATCCTACCAAGTGAGTGTAAAACAAAAGCCTGTAATTGTTTTACATGATGGTAGGATTGCTGGTGTTTTTTTCTGTCTCGTAAACATGCAAGATTTCAGATACATCTTGCTACTTCTACTTACACTTAGGTCACACTACACATGCATGTACAAGCATATACTATATATATACACACACACACACACACACACACACACACACACACACACACACACACACACACACACACACACACACACACACACACACACACACACACCTACCTCTGGGTTTTCTTCTATTTTCTTACTAGTGCTTGTTCTTGTTTATTACCTCTTATCTCCATGGGGAAGTGGAATAGAATTCTTCCTCTGTAAGCCATGTGTGTCATAAGAGGCAACTGAAATGCTTGGAGCAAGGGGCTAGTAACCCCTTCTCCTGTATACATATTACTAAAGTTAGAAAGAGAGAAAGTTTTGTTTTTCTTTTTGGGCCACCCTGCCTCAGTGGGATAGGGCCAGTTTGTTGAAAGAAAAAGAAGTAAACAAACATGTTATCAGGTTTTTATATGCATTTGAAAGTGAAAGAAGGCTATGTTTAACTTAATGCTGACTTTCACTCTACAGCAGTGCTCTGGAACCTAACCTGCTGTATAAGCAGGGCCCATCTGTACTGTAGTAATTGCCTTCTACTCATACCTTACACATCATGTAAGGGGCTAAACAAATTATACAGAGTAACTTTGTTTAATATACTCTCTTCACTGAAAAAAATGTGATCACAAACCTGTATGCATAATTGGAAAATTACACAAATTTAAATCCACATCCAGTATACCATAAATTCATCTGGTGGAGGAACTAGACACCAACTAGAAGTATTATACAGTGGTCCCCCGGTATTCGATGGCATCGGTATCCGATAAATCCGGTATTCGATACATTTTAACGCAAAAATTTTGCCTCGCCACTCGTTAAAAAACCCGCCACACGCAATTTGTCCGAGACGTGTCCATGTGTGACCTGAACTGCCCCTTGCGTGCCAGTGTTTACAAGCCAGCCAGTGTGCTCGCATCTAAGGATACATTCGGTACATTCCATATTATCACGGTGTTTTTGGTGCTTGTTTCTGCAAAATAAGTCACCTTGGGCCCCAAGAAAGCTTCTAGTGCCAACCCTGTGGTAAAAAGGGTGAGAATTAGTATGGAAATTAAAAAAGATTTTGAAGGGTTTGGGGCTAACCCTGAGAAGCCTATGCCAGTTGTGGAACCCATTGTGCCTACTTCAAAAATTAAGGAAATGTGTGCAAAGTGGGTTGAACTGCAAACCTTTATGGATGAAAATCACCATAACACAGCTATTGCAAGCCGTGCTGGTGACTATTACAATGACAATGTTGTGGCCCATTTTAGACAAATCATAAAGGAATGGGAGGTACACAGCTCTGTGGACAGATTTGTTGTGTGACGGAGGTCCAGTGACTCTCAAGCTGGTCCTAGTGGCATTAAAAGAAAAAGGGAAGTAACCCCAGAAAAGGACTTGCTACCTCATGTCCTAATAGAAGGAGATTCCCCTTCTAAACAATAAGTTCGACACTCTCCCCTCCTCCCATCCCATCAATCATCACCAGATCTTCATTAAAGGTAAGTGTCATGTATTCTATTGATAGTAGAGTACTACAAACTGTGCATGTCTTCTTCAGTTTGTGTGCATTAAACTTAATATTTCATGTGGTAAATTTTTTTTTTCATACTTTTGGGTGTCTTGCACGGATAAATTTGATTTCCATTATTTCTTATGGGGAAAATTAATTAGCCTTTCGATAATTTCGGTATTTGATGAGCTCTCAGGAACGGATTAATATCGAATACTGGGGGTCCACTGTATTTATGGCAGGTGCTAAGAGCACAGGGGTAGTATAGGGACTAGGTAATCAGGTTAATCCGAGAAGAGGGAGGGTAGAATCTGTTCCTTGTATCAAAATCCATACAGTATTAAGTTATTTCATAGTAGACTATGAAGTAACTTAATACTGTACTTGTAGAATATACAGTAGATGTTAAAATGCTAAAGTGTTTGGAATATAAAATATAAAAGCAGAGTAGGTGTCCTGTAGTTCCTTGATATTTGTAACTTCACTCTATTAGACAATTCTAATACTGCCTCTCCTCACTTAGGGATGTACTCATTTACTGACCACTCAGACTTAAGACCAGCTCTCCAACCAGTATGCAAACCTAAGTAATGTATATTAGAGCTGATTACCTCTATTCTGTTTACTACAGTATACAGTACACTACTGTATAAACATTTAAAAATATACTAGAAATGTTATAAATGGTGCAAAAGTGACATTAAAAAAATATCTAAAGATGGTTGGCACAAACCCACTACCAGTATAGTATGCTCCTCGCTTAATGACCAATTCGCTTACTGACTTACTCTTAGGAATGGAACCCTGTCTTTAAGTGAGGAGAGGCTGTACTGTAATAGAATTAAGTGGTAGGATTCATAATCCTTAAATGATTTGTATGATAAGTGGCTTTCTTTTGATAATGCTTTTATATAAGTTTTTATTTAGTATATCATAATTGTATGAAAGCTGTAATCATCTGAAATGTAAACCCACAATTGTAACTTCTATGCATGTCTCTAAGAAATAAAGATTTTGATTCTGATTTTCATTTTGATAGTACAGTATAGGTATACCTTATTGGCTGAGGCCATATCATCAGTGAGATTGACATCAAAATAGATATTATACACCTCTTCTTCTTTCAACACACAGCCCTATCCCACTGAGGCAGGGAGGCCCAAAAGGAAAAACTAAAGTTTCTCCTTTTACATTTAGTAATATATATACAGGAGAAGGGGTTACTAGCCCCTTTCGCCTGGCATTTTAGTCGCCTCATATGACACGCATGGCTTATGGAGGAAGAATTCTGCTCCACTTCCTCATGGAGAATATTGTACACTTATGGTCATTATTTATTTATAATAATTTTATGCATGTATGGAGACATCACATTTTTTTAATAGAGACTAGTTAAGAACTATAGATTTAATATTTAAAATTTTCTTAAGGATGAATTATAAATAAATGTTATTTTTCTTGGCTTTATTTTTACCATATGCATAGGTGTTTTGTATGTCTTTTTATGCATACAGCAGGGCCCTGCTTATAAGTAAAAATTGCTGTAAAGTGAATCATAGTCTTGTTTTTCCTTACTTTCAAATGCATATAAAAGCTTGATAACATGTTTACACTATCATATATTAAGTGAGCAATAGAGGTAGGCCCAAAAAATGCATATACAGTACACCAATTACTTCTTCTTTCAACAAACCAGCCATATCCCACCAAGGCAGAGTGGCCCATAACAGAAAAACAAAAATTTCTCTTTTTAAATTTAGTACAGTACAGTGGACCCTTGGGTAACGGCGGTATCGGCTAACACCAAAATTGGATAGCGTCCCATTTTTATGGCAAAATATTGGCTCGGCTAATGCCCAAATACTTGGTTAAGGGCATTTGTCCCGAATGTGTCCGCGCGGCCTGAGCCGCCCGGTCTTTCCAGTACAGCTAGTGTGCCATTGTTTACAAGCCAGGAAGGACGATTCCACGTGTACATGTGATATATTTTGCATTACTCCATTGTTTTTAGTGCTTGTAACTGCTAAATAAGCCACCATGGGCCCAAAGAAACCTTCTACTGCCAGCCCTGTGGTAAAAAGGGCGAGAAATACTATCGAATTGAAGAAAGAGATTTTCGCAAAATACGAAAGTGGAGTGTGTGTCTCCGAGTTGGCCAGGTTATATAACAAATCCCATTCAACCATCACTACTATCTTGGCTAACAAAAATGCAATCAAGGAAGCTGTTGTTGCGAAAGGTGCAAGTATGCTTATAAAACAGAGATCACAAATACTCGAAGATGTGGAGAGACTTTTGTTGGTGTGGATCAACGAGAAACAATTATCAGGAGATAGTGTTTCTCAGTCAATAATATGTGAAAAGGCAAGGCAGTTGCATGATGATCTCATTAAGAAAATGCCTCCGAATAGTGCTGATGTTAGTGACTTTAAGGCCAGCAAGGGTTGGTTTGAGAGATTTAAGAATTGTAGTGGCATACATAGTGTGATAAGGCATGGTGAGACTGCCAGTTCTGACAAAAAAGCAGCTGAAAAATATGTTCAGGAATTTAAGGGGTACATAGAGGCTGAAAAATTAAAACCCCAAGTGTTCAATTGTGATGAAACAGGCCTGTTTTGGAAGAAAATGCCAAACAGTCCTTATGGAAGGGGATTCCCCTTCCAAACAATAATACACCTCCATCCTCTCCTCTCCTCCCATCTCATCACTCATCAATAAGTTCTTAATAAAGGTAAGTGTCATTTCAGTATTGTTTATTGTGCATGTCTCATTGTTTTCTGCATAGGGAAATGTATATTTCATGTAAAAAAAATTATTTTGTTTAATACTTTTGGGTGTCTGGAACGGATAAATTGGATTTCCATTATTTCTTATGGGGAAAATGAATTTGGATAATGGCAAAATCGGTTAAAGGCAAGCTCTCTGAAACGGATTAATGCCGCTACCCGAGGGTCCACTGTATTTCATACAGGGCATTTTAGTTGCCTCTTGTGACATGCATACCTTATGGAGGAGGAATTCTGCTCCACTTACCCGTGGAGAACACATTACATACTTCTCTCTCTTTCAACACATTGGTCGTATCCCACCGAGGCGGGGTGGCCCAAAAGGAAAAACAAAAGTTTCTCCTTTTACATTTAGTAATATATACAGGAGAAGAGGTTACTAGCCCCTTGCTCCCAGCATTTTAGTCGCTTCTTACAACACACATGGCTTATGGAGGAAGAATTCTGTTCCACTTCCCCATGGAGATAAGAGGAAATAAACAAGAATAAGAACTAGAAAGAAAGTAGAAGAAAACCCAGAGGGGTGTATATATATGTGCTTGTACATGTATGTGAGTGTGACCTAAGTGTAAGTAGTAGTAGCAAGATGTACCTGAAATCTTGCATGTTTATGAGACAGAAAAAAGACGCCAGCAATCCTACCATCATGTAAAACAATTACAGACTTTCGTTTTACACTCACTTGGCAAGACGGCAGTACCTCCCTGGGCGGTTGCTGTCTACCAACCTACTACCTAGGATTACGTACTCACCTTAAAATATTTTCATCCTTAACTCATAGTGAATGGTGAATATATTTTTTGTAGGAAGCCTGAATAAATGAAAAATGAGTATAATCGAAAACTGCTGTATTAGCGAAATGCTGTAAAGTGGGGCCCTCCTGTATGTGAAAAGTTGATGATTGTGGTGGACGTGTGAGTTTGTGAGGTGTGAGACAGCAGTAGCTCTGCTCTCTCATGCCACTCTTTACCTTGCACAGTTATCCTTACAATATACCCAGGCAGTACATAATATCCTCATCATAACAGTAAGGGAATGATGAGCATATATAAAGAATTGAATATGATTTAAGAGAGGGTGGGAGTGAATAAGAGAGTGAGAATGAGAGAGAGGGAGACAGTCCAGCTGGTACCTGCCTATACACATCTGAACCATATGCTGTAGTGTAGCTCTTTTCTGTTTAATTAATGTATGTTAATTAAATGATGTTTAATACTATTGATATTTGCAATTGAAAAGGAACTGTACTGAATGTAGAATATTAGGTGAATATTTAGAGTTAAAAAACTTAAATACTGAATATTATGGTTTGGGAATGCATCTCTGATTATAACATGGGTGTCTATGGGAAAACGGGTTCCAGGTTCCAAACAGATGACTTGCAAATAATTTTCAGGAATTCATTTACATTGTAAGTGGGAATTTACTGTATTCGTCAACATTGTTCGGGGAGATAGCATTAAAAAAAGCTGTTATACTTATATATACTCAAATATACTCTACAGGAAGAATGCAGTCTTCATCAACATTGGCCGGGGAGATATCATCAGTGAGACTGACATTGTGAAAGCTCTTGATTGTGACTGGATCTCAGCAGCAATACTGGATGTGTTTCTAAAGGAACCATTACCAACAGATAGCCTACTTTGGAAACATCCTAAGGTCAGCTATGTAAATTATTTGTAACACAGAATGTGTCTTGAAATTTTCTCCAAGCTTAGATTTTTTAATCAGCGCTGAATGATCCACATGGGTTTAGTGATTTTCTGTGAAAATAATAGCTGTGGCAGCAGAGATAATAATAAAAATAATAATAAAAGGCTAGTAACCCCTTATCCTGTATACATTACTTAAGTTAATAAGAGAAACTTTTGTTTTTCTTTTTGGGCCACCCTGTTTTGGCGGGATGTGTCCGGTTTGTTGAAAGAAAGGAGGAGGAACAATAAAAATGATAATAATAATAAAAATAAAAATAGTTAATAATGTTCAATATTTAGTTTATGCCTTACCTAACTCCATGTTTTTTGTATATGCTTCTGTGATTTTTTAAACCGTCTTCTCATTCTATTCCTATTTATACTTCTAACATAAGTTCTACTCATTTAGCATTTGAGACTATTCATTACAGAAAATAACTAGAAATCATGAAAAATACATAAAAATATGAAAAATAACTCAAAAGAGACAGTTTTAGCATGATACAAGGCTGTTTTCTCTCATCTGTTTCTTCCCTGTTTGAGGGAGGAAAGCCTTTTATGGCACATTTGTCTTGTAAATTGATAAATTGGATAAATTGATCCAATAAACAGTGTCATCATGACCGTTTTCCATTCTGAGAGAAAAAGTTTTATTGCTTTTCGAGATTCATTAAAATCACACCAGGCATACTATTTTCTATGCTGAGTCAGAATATTCACTTAGAAATATAAAATGAGATAATTTAAGCATCATACAAGGCCTTAATTTCCAGATAATTCCTAATGGAGGAAGCTAATATTTTCATTAAGACTATTCGTTATGGAAAATAACTAAAAATCATGAAAAATACCTAAAAATAACTGAAAGTTATCAAAAATAATGAGAAATGACTAAAAATTATGAGAAATAACAAAGAATTTGGAAAAAAACATAAATTATGAAAAATAAATAAACATTACCCCAATTTGAACTACTTTTGATGCTACTTAAGAATATGCACTTAAAAACATAAAATGAGACAGTTTTAGCATGATGCAAGGTTGTTTTCTCTTGTCTGTTTCTTTCCTGTCTGAGGCACCTTTTACGGCACATTTAACTCAAACAACTTTCATAACCATCTATGAAAGCTGTATATACAGGATTTTTTTCATGGCAATGATAGATAAGGTGCCTGCTCTTGGAAGGAGGGATGGGGATGTTCTGGTTCAAAGGGTCGCTTGAATTGTGATGTCTGTACACTTTCAGCAAGAGAGCTATTGAATGAGTGATGTTTAATATGCTTCCTTGGGGGAAACAGCTGTTATGTTAAAAAATGGGGTATTAGGTACTGTATTGTTTGTCAGTGTTCCTTGGATCATATTTGTTATTACAAATATTGGAAAGTGCTAGTCAAACAATAAGTTTTTGGAATGTACAGTTTTATATGTCAGTTTCTTTAATTATTCAAATTTAATCTAACTTAACTTTGAGTACAATTTAATTGAGCTACAGTATCACATTTCTCTCACAGTTAATGATTCTTCTAATAGATTCTATTTTCAAGTAAAATTCCATTAGGTATAGGCATTAGCTATTTAATATTTCAGTGTAAATATTGGTGTGTGCAACAAATGGCAAGAGAATTTTTGATTAATCTTTACTTGGATTTTGTCTTTCTTGCAGGTGATGATAACTCCGCATGCAGCAGGTGTTAGTCGTGCAGTGGATGTTGCTGACGCTTTTATTGCTAACTTCAGACGTTACACTAAGGGACTTGTTGTTGAGAATATAATTAATTGGGACAGAGGCTATTAGTTGAGGATTAAACACATTTACAATCTTGAAATGATAATTTTTTTAGCTCTGTAATACATACTTAAATACGCTTTTTTTTAGTAGTTTTAATGAAACGTATTGAAAAAGTGCAGGATACTTCAATGTTTCATGCACATGTAATGTAATGAAGTTAACATATGGTTAGCATGCCATTTGTCTCACAGCTGTAAAAACCAAGTTAGAATCCTGAGTGAGGATACAAGGCCTCATCACATGGCTGTGGAAAAGGAAAGCATTTGTGTCTATTTTTCCTCAGGAGAGGTTTCGTTGTTGAAGCTAGAATATTTTATCATTGGACAATCAGTTTAGACTGATGACATAGATTTGTCACCACAGTCAATAAGTGGCAGCCAGGCAATTAATACATCAACTAAGAAGAGACAACAGAGAAAGAATAGCTAGTATGAAGTGAAGAGTACATATAATCTTAAATTCTTATTGTACATTTTATTTGTGTGTTTCCTCTGAGTTTATCAGTTGATAAGAAGTATGTTTTAATTGTTTTTTGGTAATTAAATGGGACATGTAGGAGTGCTGTTGGAGTGTTCAGTAAGGTAACATGTATGGAGTCAGGGAAACCGGCAGGCTGGATTTCAGTCCTGAAGATGGGAAGTACAGTGTCTGCACTCTGAAGGAGGGGTGTTAATGTTGCAGTTGTATAACTGTAGTGTAAGCGCACCTCTGGCAAGACAGTAATGGAGTGAATGATGATGAAAGTGTTTCTTTTTTGGGCCACCCTACCTTGGTGGGAGAAGGCTGATGTGTTAATAAAAAATAATAATAAAATAAAAATAAATGTAGGATGTACAGTACCTTAATTTAATGAACATTAGTTTAACAAACTTCAATTAATAGATTTCAAATTTAAAAGACAAAAACTGTTGTCAGACAATGTACAGAAACCACAGATAAAATATGATAAACACAGAACTGTTTGTTATTGATGTGGTTCACTGCATAAATTGATTTAAAGCAATCTAGAATTGTTCAATATTGTTGCAATCATGAAAACTCATGATTCAGATTCACTGGAGAATTGGCATTGATGTACAGTATACCCCTCCTCCCTATTAGTTACTTAAACTGAGTTTTGCTGTATAATATTTTAGCAGATATGTGCTGCCATGGCCTCAGCGCTCAGTGAAGGGACATTCTCTTTGCTGTCAAAGTGCAACTTGTTGCACAAAAAACTATGGCTATATTACCTGTTTATTCCTCACCCAAACTGTATAGTACAGTGGACCCCCGCTTAACGATCACCTCCCAATGCGACCAATTATGTAAGTGTATTTATGTAAGTGCGTTTGTACGTGTATGTTTGGGGGTCTGAAATGGACTAATCTACTTCACAATATTCCTTATGGGAACAAATTCGGTCAGTACTGGCACCTGAACATACTTCTGGAATGAAAAAATATCGTTAACTGGGGGTCCACTGTATATGTATGGGCATACAAGATGTGGAACTCGGTGGGCTATCTTTGCTGTGTATCTTTCAGCAGAATTGGTGAAAGCTCAATCCTCCATCTGTTAATAGACAGAAATTTTACTTTGGCAACTAGGCTTCACTACCCCCAATATGCTGGGAAGCAACCGTTGTATTTATACCAAAAAATGGAGATAAAACACCTCAATTACTGGGAGCGCTTGAGGTTCCTAAACCTGTATTCCCTGGAATGCAGGCGGGAGAGATACATGATTATATACACCTGGAAAATCCTAGAGGGACTAGTACTGAACTTGCACACGAAAATCACTCACTACGAAAGCAAAAGACTTGGCAGACGATGCAACATCCCCCCAATGAAAAGCAGGGGTGTCACTAGCACGTTAAGAGACCATACAATAAGTGTCAGGGGCCCGAGACTGTTCAACTGCCTCCCAGCATACATAAGGGGGATTACCAACGACCCCTGGCAGTCTTCAAGCTGGCACTGGACAAGCGCCTAAAGTCGGTTCCTGACCAGCCGGGCTGTGGCTCGTACGTTGGTTTGCGTGCAGCCAGCAGTAACAGCCTGGTTGATCAGGCTCTGATCCACCAGGAGGCCTGGTCACAGACCAGGCCGCGGGGGCGTTGACCCCTGGAACTCTCTCCAGGTAAACTCCAGGTAAACAATGTACAAGAAACTCAGAAAATGTTCAATTTCTTGGGACTGAACCTGATTGCCTCTCAGCCCTCACACTCTGTACGACCACTGTAGGTTTAGCGCTTCCCTCAAAATATATAATAATAATTATCATCATATACCTGATGGTTAACTGACAGTCCCTTCAAGGAAAGGAGGGAAAGTGGGAGCTTTTATCCTTGTGAAGGACTCTTGGTTCAAGGAACTGGACCTACTTTTCCCTTTCTTGGATCTAATTACCTCCTATTTTCCAGGTGCTGTATGACCCTTATGGTTTAGCACTTTAAAATAAAGGAGGTGCCTTGATGCTAGTGAAGGGCTCTTAATATTAGGAATGGGACCTATCCTTCCTTTCCTTGACTTGAACCATATTGCCTCCCATTCAATGCTCCCCAATGAATAGAACGGTAATCAACTGCAAGTGAAGGAACACCACAGAAAAAAATTGAAAGGCAGATATCCAAGTTTATTTTAAAAAGAGAGATACCAGAGTAGAGTGAACTGAAACTGCCACACATGTATATGAAGCAGATAAAATCATAACACCTGAATTATATTACAATATATTAACAGTGCTGAATGACCTTGGTGGTTCATTGCTGAGTTTATATTTAATAATAATAATACAGTACATATTAAGATTATTCTATTAATTCAAAATAAAATTCTAATAAAAATTACAATGAGTGAAACTAGTTTTTTTTTTTTTTTTTTTTTCAACAAGTCGGCCGTCTCCCACCGAGGCAGGGTGACCCAAAAAAAGAAAGAAAATCCCCAAAAAGAAAATACTTTCATCATCATTCAACACTTTCACCACACTCGCACATTATCACTGTTTTTGCAGAGGTGCTCAGAATACAACAGTCTAGAAGCATACACATATAAAGATACACAACATATCCCTCCAAACTGCCAATATCCCAAACCCCTCCTTTAAAGTGCAGGCATTGTACTTCCCATTTCCAGGACTCAAGTCCGACTATATGAAAATAACCGGTTTCCCTGAATCCCTTCACTAAATATTACCCTGCTCACACTCCAACAGATCGTCAGGTCCCAAGTACCATTCGTCTCCATTCACTCCTATCTAACACGCTCACGCACGCTTGCTGGAAGTCCAAGCCCCTTGCCTACAAAACCTCCTTTACCCCCTCTCTCCAACCCTTTCGAGGACGACCCCTACCCCGCCTTCCTTCCCCTATAGATTTATATGCTTTCCATGTCATTCTACTTTGATCCATTCTCTCTAAATGACCAAACCACCTCAACAACCCCTCTTCTGCCCTCTGACTAATACTTTTATTAACTCCACACCTTTTCCTAATTTCCACACTCCGAATTTTCTGCATAATATTTACACCACACATTGCCCTTAAACAGGACATCTCCACTGCCTCCAACCGTCTCCTCGCTGCTGCATTTACCACCCAAGCTTCACACCCATATAAGAGTGTTGGTACCACTATACTTTCATACATTCCCTTCTTTGCCTCCATAGATAACGTTTTTTGACTCCACATATACCTCAACGCACCACTCACCTTTTTTCCCTCATCAATTCTATGATTAACCTCATCCTTCATAAATCCATCCGCCGACATGTCAACTCCCAAGTATCTGAAAACATTCACTTCTTCCATACTCCTCCTCCCCAATTTGATATCCAATTTTTCTTTATCTAAATCATTTGACACCCTCATCACCTTACTCTTTTCTATGTTCACTTTCAACTTTCTACCTTTACACACATTCCCAAACTCATCCACTAACCTTTGCAATTTTCTTTAGAATCTCCCATAAGCACAGTATCATCAGCAAAAAGTAACTGTGTCAATTCCCATTTTGAATTTGATTCCCCATAATTTAATCCCACCCCTCTCCCAAACACCCTAGCATTTACTTCCTTTACAACCCCATCTATAAATATATTAAACAACCATGGTGACATTACACATCCCTGTCTAAGACCTACTTTTACCGGGAAGTAGTCTCCCTCTCTTCTACACACCCTAACCTGAGCCTCACTATCCTCATAAAAACTCTTTACAGCATTTAATAACTTACCACCTATTCCATATACTTGCAACATCTGCCACATTGCTCCTCTATCCACTCTATCATATGCCTTTTCTAAATCCATAAAAGCAATAAAAACTTCCCTATCTTTATCTAAATACTGTTCACATATATGCTTCAATGTAAACACTTGATCTACACATCCCCTACCCACTCTGAAACCTCCTTGCTCATCCGCAATCGTACATTCTGTCTTACCTAGTTACACTGCATTATTACACAATGTGATGAGACAGTATTTTACATGTATGTATGTATATATATATATATATATATATATATATATATATATATTATATATATATATATATATATATTATATATATATATATATCAGATACATATATACATGTATGTATATAAGACATTTATGATATTCACCGTAAAATTTTGTGATGAATAACCCACATGGGTTTAATGCTTAACATTGCAGTGCTGCATAATCCTTGTGGGTTTAGTGCTTAGTTATGATTATGATAATTATATAATAATGCTTAACATCAATTAAAATCACCCAAGAAAATCACAGTAAAATTGATTCAGTGAGAATGACTCGATATATATGGGCAGATGAAATCCTAGCAAGGTACATGAAAAATAAGTATACTTAGACAATACGTATTTAAAATATTCAATAACTAGGGATTTGGTATCCCCAAAGGGACCCCAATACAGATGTTACTTTTTTTTTTGGGGGGGGGGGGGAAGGGTAATTTACACATACATTACCACATAAAACTGTAATCATCCCAAAATTTTGTTAAAACTATGTAAATAAATTTACTTACCGCTCAGTAGATGCCTGATTTTTTTTCTATCCTCCAAAGGAAATAAGTCACTGTCTGACTTCTTTTTTGAGGCAGTTTTATCCTAGTTAATTTACACTGTGTATGGTAATTGTACTTACACGTATCCGTACCTAAATAAACGGATTTATGACTTGAGAACACCTCATCCAATCAGCTTCACATTTCCAAAGCCGCTGCTGCCTGTATTGTGGGTAACCTTCATGACACTATTGGCAGTCTGCTCAATTATATTTGCCAGAAGTTCAATTTTTATCCTCTTCTTATTTTTTCCCTTTCTTCTCATTGTTCTTATTATCATGAGGAGCACTAAACCTGTACTGATTATACAGTGCCTGTAGAAAATGGGAAGATGAAAGGTATTTAGGCTCAATTCAGGGAACTGGAACACAGATCCAATTCCCTAGATTAAGAGCCCCTCACCTGCATCAAGAAACCTCCCTAGAAGGGTGTTAATACAATAATAATAATAGTATTAGTATTATTTGAAGTGCTAAACCCGTATGGGCTATTCAGCACATAATAAAGAGACTCGACATTTCATATTCTCATTCTGTCTCTCTGTCTGTCTCTCACTCACTCACTCACTCACTTTCAACAGGCTTTCCTTCAACAATGCCATCCCAGGAATCAAATTAACAAAGTTTTTTAAACTGTATTTTAATTGTAAATTATCTTACCGATAAATGTCTTTTGTGTTTTGTCTTTGGACTCGGACTGGATTAAAAAGTTCCTCACTGCAGGTGCTGGCTAATATTAGTACTTAATATTGTATAAATCAAAAGATATTTT